TCCCCTGTACCATTTTACCCTTTTCCATAATCCCTATAGATTTAAGGTAGATAAAGAATGTAGGTAGTAGTGAGAAGGGTTGAGTCTATCTGCACAGTTAGGGCCGTTGACAGGTATTGCACGGGAGCTTTTACTCGGACGTAGGTCGTCTGACCAACTGACACATCGTGAATTTTTTCCAAATGAAAGAAGCGATGATCCTAACGATTACTCAAACCACACGTAGTATGAAGTATGAAATCCAAAACAGGATTTTTCTGGAATAATGTAATATATTAAATATTTATTTTATTATTTTTTTGATTACAGCTTGATTCCACACTGTATTTTTGGTACAAGTATGGAATTTTCAGCATGGATATCGGTAGCCCAAATTTCGCAGGCCGACCATAGATATCAGGTGTGCGTCAGCAGGGGATCAAACCTCGGACCATGTTCATGGTCAGCAAGAGTCCTAACCACTGTGCCACCGATGCATCCTATAGTTGAAGAATGTTGGCAACACACTAACATTCTGGAGAGGAAATAGTCTCTAGTACGTTTTAGTGACGACCAAAATGCAACTAAGGCTTGAATAAGTAGAACAAATTGAGTCAGCTACACAGAATGCTAGATTGCCTCCGAAGGTTTAAGTAGTTTTAAATCTTGCCTGCCAATTATGCCACTGTATCGCCACCACTGTCAGTATCGCGCATCTTATCGTGCTGGTTACCAGGTAGATCCTCGTAATCCATGATACAGCCATTACTAACATGATAATGCATTAACTTTTAGAGTTTTGGTAATGCTGTAGATAAGGTAAACTATTTCAGCTCTACTAAGTGAAGTTTGCCTGTTGTTCGATAAATGAGTACTATACCTATCTGGTAAGTGCTGATGACAAGACGCAAATTAAACAGACATTGATAAATAGTAATGCGCTCTTTCGAGAAGTATATTTGGATATAATAAGAAGTCAGGATAATTCTGGAAAAACGGTGTAATAACTTATGTAGTTTGGAAAGCTGTACAATCGACTCAAAGAATGTAATTGTTCATTACATGAACAGAGAGCACGAGAATGGCGTTGGCGCTAGTCTGTATCTATATATGTTCATACAAGTCTTGGACATCAGAATTTGCACTGCAAACCTTTGCCGTTAACTCACCCTAAAATTCATTATGCCAAAATATATTGTTCTTGTGACCATATTCATAAATTATTTGGTCTTTTGATTTTGTGTTTTGCTACCATTGCTCACAAATAAGTAAGCTACGAATTAACCAGGACTTCAATAGAACCGCGTCGGTGGCACAGTGGTTAGGACTCTTGCTGACCATGAACATGGTCCGAGGTTTGATCCCCTGCTGACGCACACCTGATATCTATGGTCGGCCTGCAAAATTTGGGCTACCGATATCCATGCTGAAAATTCCATACTTGTACCAAAAATACAGTGTGGAATCAAGCTGTAAATAAAAAATAAAAAAATAAAATAAAGATTGAAGGTTGTTTGTTGACAGCTGATTTTGTCTTTGCGTCAATTAATTGATATTTTCGGGCCGTAAAGAGTTAGCTAAAGACAAGATTTATTATTTTTTTAATATTTTTTTTACTTTTTTATGTTTTATTTTTTAAAATTTTTTTTGTGGTTTTTGATTACAGCTTGATTCCACACTGTATTTTTAGTACAAGTATGGAATTTTCAGCATGGATATCGGTAGCCCAAATTTTGCAGGCCGACCATAGATATCAGGTGTGTGTCGGCGTGGGCTCGAACCCCGGACCATATGCATGGTCGGCGAGAGTCCTAACCACTGTGCCACCGACGCATATATGATGAAATAGATAAGAAATATTTTCATCAGTAGAGAACAAGAATTGGATCAAACCACAAAGTTACTTTAGACGGTTAGATTTGGGGTAAATGACAACATCATTCTAGCCTGTGACCTTGATCGGAATAAAACAATATTCGAATGAAATCACAATATGAATTCAGAACAAATGGTCTATCAGAGTAGTAAAATAGAATTTCATCTGCAAAATTATCTTAGTAAGACAAAGAAAAAATCATATAAGAACTGTTCAAAAAATTGAGTAAATGTGAGAATAAAAGAGAACGTGTGGCTGAGTACATATGAAAACGCAATTGATGAACAGAGAAGATAAATCCACTTGGAATAGTCACTCCGAAAAAAAATGATTTTAATATCACAGGGAATACGATCCATTTTTTCGCATGAGAATTCGTCATCGTAGTATCTAATATAAACTTAGAATGCCTACAAAAATGACTTGATTCGGAAAAATTCGCTTCACTTAATAACATGAAACCCTTAATATGGAGAAAACTTTATCCAAGTCGATTGTTAAGTGGCTATAGCCATGTGACATTCCCGTGTGGAAGTTGTCAAGTTCATATTTGCTATGATAGGGTGTTCACTGGTAGTCGATGTTAACTAAAGTAAATATACTCAGGAAAGATTTATTTTAAAATAGCTGTCCCGCATATTACTTCTAACATAGTAGGTATATCTTTTTTAAAGAGAAACTGAAAAGTAAACGTCCATGTCACTTTAACAAGTTTTCCAATATAGCGAGATAAAATTTTCGAGAATTTCATATTGGCACTCACTGTCTGTATCAATTCCCGAAGCAGCTTCACAGTTCCGAGAGCCCCAAACACTAATGAACTACTCTTTGTCAAGCAGTGTAAAGTCAGGATAGAACAACAAGTTAGGGCAGGTAGTTTGTATTGGTACTTAAATTCACAGACGGTGGAAAAGCAGTCCAGCCATATATCAGTTATACAACTGAACAAATATCTAATTCCTGCGTTCACTGAAAGATTAATCGCTACAGATTAAACAGAATCACTACTCCAAAGTTGTCAACTAGGGTATTTGTGTTCGTTATATCTTAATCTTAGCAGTTCACAAATTCGATAATTGACATAACACTGATTTTTGACTTTGAGGTTCTATATCTGTCCAATGTCTAGTCATTTCTTTTAATATATGACAGATTTTGGGTAGAATGTGATTTTTAACTAAACTATAGTGAACGATAACTGGAATTTCAGGAGCAAAACACTCTGTCAAAAATATACAAAGTTAGAGAGTCATAATGATTGAATTCAAACAAATAATAGTGGACGTTCAGATTGTTAACTGTTTGAAGTAACCATCGAATATTCATCTTTTCATCATATTGGGACTATGGATTTAAGATGGCATTAAGCATAATTTGAATAATTGTATTATTTATTTGACTGCGAAGAACAGTAATTTCTGAAATTTATGCAGTTATATCTACTACATTTTAAGTAACTTCAACAGTCGGTAGAGTACTAAGGCGATGATGGATGTTGATAGTCACACAAGATACACTGTATACTAATGCAAGTGTTTATCCTGTAACTGACAAACTGCTTGTTCTACTAAGACATAAGACAAATAAAAAAACAAATTCCTCATCCAAACATGAGATATATATTTCAGGATCAGAAACGTAAGGTGGTGATGGGTGCTCAAACAGCTAGTTTGCGTGCATGGGCGACCACACATGATACAGCAGCGAACCAAATGGTGTGGATGCTTGTCCGTGTACCTTAAACAGCGAAGGTCAGCACTAAATGCTGTAGACTAATAATTCTCCGGAATAACTTACTGCTATAGTTGTTATGAGAATGTTACTGCATGAAATTAAATCTAGTGTTTTCTCACAGGAATAATGATAACAGGAAATCTGCTGTTCTGTAAGAAGCATCAGCGTAAACTGTGCAATTAGTGTGTAATTTATCTATATCAGCTACTTGAGTTATTTAGTACCTGCCAGCAAGTAGATTTTATAAGCCATCTCATATCCATCAGAGTTTACCTTTTCATAAAGATAATCAAGGTCTACACACATGTCTTCGTTGTGCTAAGTATCACTGAGCTGCTTAACTTCCAGTTAATATTAAATATTTTATTTATTTACTTTGTTATTTATGGTGTATGAAACAGAACTGTTGAGGAATTCTTAATAAGCAACATGTAACTTTTATGTGAAATTTACATAAATACCGTAGCAATCCAAACACACTTCGTGACAGAGATTCTATCAGTAACACCTTGCCTGCTAAAGTGGCTTGAGTAAATATCAAATCCGTATCTTAGGAGCTAATTAGATATCGTTATGACCATAATGAAGTGATATTAAGTGCTTCACACACGTATATGTTGAATTATTAGGACGGAAAATATAAAGTATTAAGAGGTACAGGGTAGTATGCCCCAAAATTTCATTCTTCATAAAGTTATGCATTGATCACTGTACTATGCACGTAAGAGAAAAGTTAACATCAGAACTAAGCACAAATGGTTGAATGGTTTGCAAAGTGATAGAGAATCAAAAAGGCCTCTTTTTGGACAGTATTACTGACTAATTATGCACAATCCTATTTGTGGTTTTTGTGCATAATATTCTTATGACTAATACATTCTACCTCGGAGATTAGATCTGCAGTTTACTGGAGCAGTTTGGTAGGTAAGCGATCTATCATTTAATGCCTAATTTTAGGTGATTATTTAACAGAATTGTGGCCTCATAAATGCACTGAAAATAATTACAATTGTGTCACTTCAGCTTCCTTTATGACCAAACTCATCTAACTGAATACCCAAGAGAGATTTGTTTCCCAGGTTAAAATATTTTTACAGTTATTTCGTTCTCCTTATTATTATTAGGAATATTTCCAAGATAATAGTCTGTTGAATTCCACGATATTCTTTACTTTATTTCATTTGACAATCGAGAAAGTCAAATGGAAGAGATTTTATTATGATATTTGCAGAAACTTATCTTTATTGATTTTTTGCTAAGCTTCAAATTAACGTGATTGATTTTTCTTAACTTTTGATTACTCTGTCAGCCTGCACTTGATTACTCTCGAGAAATAAATGGAAACCACTATTCGTTTATTACGTTTTGATTTTTTATGTTAGTTCAATAATTTCATGAAGAAGAAAGGAGAATGGGTAAACCTGAAAATACTTGTACAAACAAAACTGAGAAGATAACATCTTCAAATTCTAATTTATCGTTTATTGGTACTCAGTCGAACACTTCAGCTACAATGACTAATACGAAATCAACAGTTCAGTATAACTTAAATAAATGTTCTCCAGTAGTCAATAATAATCAGGGAAATATATCAGACTGTCGGATGACAAACCGTTTGCAGAATCCTACAAGAAATACAAGCAATAAAGCAGCATCGGGAGATACAGGTGATATAAGTTCCGTCTGTGAGATATCAAAAAGTCAAAATTATGATGAATCATTGGTAAATCAAAATGGTAGAGGTAGTGGTGGCAGTATATCTGTAACACCAGTTTTATCAACTCAGTCGTCTTCATCAGGATCAGTAGCAGTGAATGACAAAACATCACAATCATCATATTCAACTGTGAGTGGATCAGTAATGTGCAATAATTCTCAAGAAAATAAAACTAATTTAATAATAAATTATCTGCCACCAAATATGAGTCAAGAGGAGGTACGTGCTTTATTTTCTAGCGTCGGTGAAGTAGAAAGTTGTAAGTTAGTAAGAGAAAAGACATCAGGTGAAAGCTTGGGTTATGCTTTTGTAAAATTCTGTAATTCAGCAGATGCTGGTAAAGCAATAAAAACAATGAATGGACTTCGATTACAAAATAAAACAGTTAAAGTGTCGCTAGCCAGACCAAGTTCTGAAGCTATAAAGGGAGCGAATTTGTATATATGTGGATTACCGAGAAAAATGAATCAGTGTGAATTAGAAAAGCTCTTCAGTACATGTGGCCATATTATCACAGCTAGAATCTTGTATGATACAAAGACTGGTTTATCCAGAGGTGTAGCATTCATTCGTTATGATCAACGTACAGAAGCAGAGATAGCTATCAGAAGACTGAACGGATATTTGCCCCCTGGAGCTAATGAGCCTATTACAGTTAAGTTTGCCAATTCACCAGGCTCAAACAGAGCTGAGAATTTTAGCCTTTGTTATATTAAGTCTCCGGATGGAGAAGCAGGAATAAGATATCCTCCAAACTCTGGACCATATAACACTGGAGGTTTAAATCAGGTAGGTAAAATAATGCCTGGGTTCCCGGTAGAACCTAGTGAAATGAATCAGACGAGGAATAAGAAGAATGATCATCTTCACAATACATCTGTAAACGGGTCACAATTTAATAATGCTTCAACATGTAGTGTTCGAACAGTTGTGAATCGTGTTCAGACACCTCCAGTTACCATCTCTCGATCAAATGGCAATACCAACTGTTCAACGTCTTATAAAAATAGTTGTATATCAGGGAATTCTACGGGTACAGGCAGTCACACTCAAACAATATCAAATAAACTTTCACTTCATATCACCAACACAAGTGCTGCAAACAACATTAATAGTTCAAAGACGTCTGACGTTGGCATATCAGGATCATTAAATAAGTTGAATAACGTCACTAGACTCAAGTGTCAGGCTGCTGCTGCAGCCGTAGCAGCTATTTCAGGGGGTACTGGTGCTGCACTTCGATGTACAAACAATATGTTAGGTAGTCCATTGGCTACAAGTTTTCCCGCAGGTTTACCTACATTTGGAATGGAATTTATGCGTGGTATCGGACCAAGCGCACATGCTCTCCTAGCTCCAGCATTTGCTGCTAGCTCAGGAGCATTAACAGCAACCGGTTGGTGTATTTTTGTTTACAATTTAGCTCCAGACACAGAGGAATCTATACTCTGGCAATTATTTGGACCTTTTGGTGCAGTACAAACTGTTAAAGTGATATGTGATCCAGCTACTGGTAAATGTAAAGGTTTTGGGTTTGTTACAATGAGCAACTATGAAGAAGCCTTATTAGCAATTCATTCATTGAATGGTTTCACTCTTGGTAATAGGATACTTCAGGTATCATTTAAGACAACACCGAACCCAAAACAAATGAGGTATTTTACAAATAATTTTATTGATAGAAATCTACTCTTATCAAATTTACCTGGCTCAATAACACCTGTATCCAATACCACTTTTACACAGAATTCATAAAGTTTTCTGCAAGTTTTTGCATAACATATTTAAATACTATGCATAAGTGAAGACACCACGAGCTATAATAACTTTGAAAGTATTTTTTCCGATTAAAATTTATTCATATTATCTAATACAATTGTTTGTCAAGATGTTTAAAGTTCTGTTCAATTATACTGTGAAAATTCATGTCAATATTCTATATTTATTACAAATATGTATGTTACTATACAGAGATTTTCATTTTCGGTAAGTTATTTTGTCGTTTGACGAAAATACTTTCTTTCTAATTCCACTCTTTCATTATTAAAAAGTTGGCTTTTACTGTCATCTTCATTTTAGCCTAATTAATTATCTGTTGTATATTACTTATATGATATTAAGTAATGTTTTGCAATATTATTGCAATATTCCTTTCACCATTCGAATCATATGTATGCACATGTGTTTGTTTGGTCAGCTGAAATCATTATTTTTTCATTTTCGTATATCTACTTGAACATTTTCGTGTATATTGTTGGGACAGTTTAACAGTATGCAGCTATACTACTGATATCACCATTATCCATAGGGGAAGAAAGTGGAATTTGTAATTTCAGTAATACATTGCTTTATTCTTTAATTGGTATAATTGTTGGTATGGAATTCGAGTTAAATAACATTTTTTCGGCAATTTCGAAGTAAGCGTCTTTTTATTTAGTGAATTAATTAGTATATTATTAATCTACTGTTTCAAAAAGAATAAACTCTTTAAAATATCCTATACTTAACTGAATATAATTAATACTGAAAAGATGATATCGTGTAGAGGACAGTAGGCTGTCTATTTAACCTCCTTGAGGTATTAAAACTTTACGGCTAACTATTTTTATTGATAAAGCCCAAAATTATCCGTACTGACGTATCTTTCTTTATTCTCTGATTACTGTATTTCACACATGGGACACTTTTGTTAACTTTCTTTGAATTATTCATTTTCATTTAAGCAGATTTTAGTCAACTGTATTATTATATTAGCACATTTTTGTCTATCTTGTCCCATGCGCTGCTTCGAAGTGTAACAAACTGAGGTGATACTTTACTGCTTAAGGTTTTGAAAATATTCGCCTAACTAAGCTGGTTGGTGGGAGGACATTTATTTCATTGGAACTTTTTCAGTTTTTTTTTCTTTTGAAAAATACTGAAATACTTCGATTGGATTAAACATAAAGTGTTGTTAATTTATGTTCTCGATTTGTGATTCTAGTTTTTTTATTGACATAATAACTTATTGTTATGAATAAATTTCAAAATTTAATGTTGTCATTAAGACAATTAAATGTGTGTATTTTTTCTGCACTTAAGACTTGTTGAAAAGCTTTATTACTTTTTAACTGTTTATTTTGTTCTGAATTTTTGTCGACTATAACTGTTTTTCTAAAAGCCAAGCTGTGCTTATATTTTTAACTTAACTTTAGAAAGATTTTGTTACTGTTAGTTGTTATTGTTCAAGTAGACGGAAGTTACTTGATTGTACTTATTATTTATCAATAAACAAATAAAGTTTAATTTCATATGAGTTCTGTTGCAGGTAGGTGAATTTTTAAATTATGGATACAGATAAAGCAAAGTGAAAATTTTGTTCATTTCTAGATTTGTAAACCGTATTTATATGTATTTCAGATTAAACAGTTTGGTGTTTGGAATCAAACACCGGTAAAACTACCGAGAGTGAACTTGCTAAACTCTAGGTATGTCTGAATTCTGTTAGTTAGTCTTTATTTCCTGGTGAATAACATTCAAATAAGCATTATATGAAGCACAACATCACTCATAAGAATACAAATACATTCAATATATACAACTAAAATAGAACGAAATTGATTTAGATGTTCATCTGAATATTATTTGCTAGTAATAGATAAAAAAATTGACTAACAGAAAACAGCCTAATCCGGAATTTAGAGAGATCACTTTTGGTGATCCTAATGATGTTTGATTCCATAAAAATTACTTGGTTTGCAAACTAACTTGGCTGAAATGAAATATTTTATTTTATCTAATAGGACTGGAGTAGATATACTATGATCCATTGTTTACGTGACCTGTGACCCGACGGTTGACCCTGAGGTAGATTAAGAGTCACGTCAGTAGATTTTTATCGATACATAGTTTCTGTATCTTAAACTAATAACTTATCAGTTATGTCAGTTAACTGTATAATTAGCCTCAATTTCTAGTGATATCACCTTTTTTGTCAGGCAATAAATCTTTAACTTCTGGAGTTTTTATTTGTGCTTTTCTCTGCATGGAGGTAATATTCTGGTGATCGGTCGTTTATTGTCGTGTGTTAAACAATAAGAACAAACTCAGATCGCAATATTATTCTTAGTTATAACAACATCTTTCTTCTCTTTCCTCAGAGCCCCTATACAAGGCAATACTATCATATTGTCTTTTCTTACATTTCTGGTACAACAGTAAAGTTTTTTAGCTTAAAGATATGTAGATTGTAATTAATAAACTAAACTTCGCATACAGTGAATAGTCCTTGCTTAAGGCATACTATTGCATGTTTAGTGAAAATCCGTGTAGAGCACATTCAGAATGATTTTTTCTAGGTGAATGTACTAAGAGATTCTAGTCTAACTAATGTTAGCTTAATTACGTAATATATATGTGACAGAAAGCATTATTATATTTTGATCAACTAATTCAATATAACAGATCCCATGAATACTAATTTAGACAATGCCTTTTAGCCTTAGCTAATTCGCTAGTAAAAGTAGGTATTATTTATAGATGATGAATAAAGATTATACTCTTTCATATCCCTTACCACTAACTTTCAATTAACCAGTTGAATAATGAGGTACTCATCACGATATTTGATAGTTAAACATTAAATTTCTCATCTGGTCATTCGTATGCATTACACACTAACATAAATCTAATAAGACTATCTATTGAGTTGTATTTCAAAGTAATCACCTTACCAGTGCTGATTTGGGTAATTATTATTACTAAATTTACTTACTACCTTACCGGTTAGTCAACTGAAAATAAAAAAATGTTAACATAATGTTTGTAATAAATAAAAAAGAAACACATAACAATCGCCTATTAAAAGTTCATATTTTCTGAAATTTCAGAATGTTGGATAGATAAAAAGAGGTAGATAAATAATGTTGTCTTTCTGTATTTAATCTCTGTTTTATATAACAAGTGATACACGAAGACGAGACATTTCATTTTCTTGTCGACGTAACTGTTCACGTAGTTCACGATATTCTTTTGGAGTTGTATAACTATTGATGGTACGCTAAAATTATTATTTAAAAGGAATAAAAAGTTGATATGAATTAGGTACACACTCAGTATATGTCAGTCAGATATATTTAGCATATTTTCTTAATCTGAAACAGTTCATAGTCGATGTTCACTTGCTAATGTTACAAACAGCTTATAACTATCAAAACAAACATCCTTTTCATTGGTCTAGTGTGATTATTAATAATACCGGATGTTATGCAATACCACTTAATATTCCCTACTTGAAGCCTAAGTGTTAATGAACTAGTGTAGAAGGATGTTACTCGTAGATGTATTAAGGAGATGAAAAATACTACTGAGTAATGGATGAACAGGCTTCGGTGGTTCAGCCGTAAAACGCTCGCCAACCGCTCATGTGTTCTAAAGTTCGATCCTCTGCTTTCACACTCCATCACCTCACTAAACTGGTGGTAAATCCGGTAAAGGAAGAGGTTGGGTATTAGGCTAGCAACCCCACCCCGTAAGAAGACACCACTGCCACTGAAACTTCAAAGCTCTAGCTTGAAGCCATATCTTCCACTGTGAAAGTAAAAGAGTAAAATAAATAATAATAATGCAAGAAAAGTGAGTGCAGTGATAACAAGTTATATGAGGAGTTTTCATTAAATAACATTGGATACAAAATACAATTTACCTATAAAATAAAAGTTAGTTTATCAGTCAGTCAGTCAGTCGACAAGCAGAATTAACTCCACCATTGCGCACTTATCTCAGATTTGTTACGTTACATCAGAATAAAACAGCTCACAGACGTTCACAACGAACAAACAAAGTTCAATCATTTTTATACTTCTTATTTCTCAACTTTGCAATGAAACAAGGATCTGTCTAAACTAGCAGAGAAAGTATTGGTTTCAATTTTCAGAATATACAACACAGACTTATATACAGTAATGCAATAACAGAATGATTGTATTTGCCAGAAAATCTGGGGTCACTGAGAGATTCAAATGGACAATCTGAGTTATCAGCACATGACTCTGTCACTTGATCTATAAACAGTTTGAATATTTTAATGACCCAAGCTTTTGTTTCGGCTTCATTTATTGTTTCCATAAGCTGACAGTTAATATTGTCACACAATCTGATCAATAAATCAGTATAATAGGGAAGTCCCACAAATAACTTTGTTTCTCTTGCGCAGTATTTAGACTAGGAAATCTTGGTTTATGGTATATTGTTATTGTTCTCTTGAGTCCCGAGTAGAAAACAGGGTTTCAGTAGCATATCTCCAATTTATCCTATTTTATGCGGCCCCCATAAGCTGGCTGTGAGATCGCCCAGAGTCTGTGATCTCTTCCAAATCCTCCTCGGACACCCTATTCATTGTTTCTCATTCAAATTTCACTCCAGTGCCTGGGGTGGGATGTCATTCCACGGTGTCCTCAGCATGTGCCCAATCCATCTTAATTTTTTTCTACATATTTGTTGGAAAATATACATCAATGGTTGACAAGCGTTTTGGTGTGTACTACATAATTACTGCGTTCATTAATCAAATCATCGCATTTGTATTATTGGCTTTATCTGTAGTTGAATATTTTTATTCGTTTACGTTCCCAGTGGAACATAGGGGGTTTCACGCTAGAGGCTTAAAGTTACTGTAGCAGTGGTGTTTATTTTTACGGGATGAGGTTGCTAGCCTCGTGTACAACCTTCCCTCTTGACCAATCTTAATACTGATTTAGCGAGGTAAGGTAGTGCGAAGGCCGGGAGTCGAACCCCGGACCACATGCGTGGTTGGTGAGCATTCTACTGCTATGCCATTGGCGTACTATACTTCAATTTACCAGTTGTCATTTTTACGACTAGTGCGCTTGGTGTGTATTTCCGAAACCGTTTTAGATTCTTGCCTTCTTTAATTTATTAAATTCCTACACTGGTTGAATATACAAGTAATAACAGTTTAGCTTAAAGGCATTCGCCTACGCCTTATTACATAAATTAGATAGCTTTATAAATACCTGAACTGAAATATGAAAAATGAAGTGGTTCACTGTGGACTCTAACTCATCTATACTTGAAAATCAGTTAATGTAGCTTGTAACTCAGTCTACTAACGATGAAACTACTATACTGAACTGAATAGAATAAGTAACTCACCCTAGAGCAATTGTTAGCTTCCCTTAGTTTTGAAAATGCGCTACGGTAAAAGAGGAGACATTATTTATGACTGGGAGAATTCCAAATATACAGAAAATTGACTTAAAATAACATAATATTTTACTTTGATTGGTTCTAGATGAAACATAGACATAAACTTAGTGAAATTATTTTGGTTAAGCAACAAGATAGATCACAATTCGATTGTCCAAATCTGCTAGTAACATAAAACATCCACTTTCGACTAAGTTGCTTGCTATCAGTTGTATTTGTAAGTTTGAAAAATTAAAATTAACTGTTTTAGTTTTGATTTGAGGTGATTCTAAGTTAAGCTTATACCATAAACTGATACTTACACCAGAAAAGCTTCACATTTCACTGAATCACAATAGGTTTCATTAATTTTTACTTCTTACCTTACCACTTAAAGTACCCACTGTACTTCTTCGGGTTTCATCGCCTTTATTTTCATCCACTGATAGTTAATGTATAGCAGGTTATAAAAAATGTATAACGCAGTTAATAGTAATAATAATAATAAGTGAACAATATTATTTACTATATTTTAAAAACTGGATATCGCTATTTATCCATGTTTAAGACAAAAAGTTCTGATGCAGATGTCAGAAACTGCTTTAACATTATGTATTTATTGAACCAGTCAAGTTATTTTGACGAATTAAAACACTGACATGTGTAGAAAAATCTGGCTAGGAATGCTAAATCCAAGTTTTGCTCATGAAAGTTGGTAATTTATAAGGCTTGTTGTTGGAAGTAGTGAAATGCATCTTTTCAGTATGAAAAAGCCAAAATTTTAAATTGGTATGTAATAATGACCCAACGCATTTTCTTCCTAATTTCCGTCAAAACTAAAAGAACAGGATTTACCGAAATATGCATATTTTATTTTAGGGCTTCTCTTCATCTGCAGACAGCATACGGTTAATGGAATAAGAACATAGATTTTATTATTTTACTGGGCAGAAGTTAAATATGAAGACTGTGGTGTAGGGAGAAACAATGATTGAAATGTGATGGCATATTTTTGAAGACTGACATAAAGAGAAACTAATTATTTCCTAAGTGTATATTAGAAGATTCGAGAATTTTTAAAGGAAACCTCACTTGATGAGAAAAAAGATTGGGTTATCATATACAAGAAAAGCACATAGTAGAGACTTGAAATTACGTAAGCAATTTAAGATCTGCAGGTTGACAAGTGATGGTGATAATAGTAATAATGATTGGAATAATAATAATAATAGCGATAATGATGGAAAAGAGAACACGTAGCCATGTGATAAACTAAGATTAACCATAGTTTCTTTCATCAAACATAATAGTTTTGAGTTGTTTGATAACAATAGACTCAGTAAACCCAAGTAAACTGGGGTTTCTTTTCTTGTTGGTGATGGCGAATGCAGTTGTAATATCCACTCTATTTCCTGATTCGATCAGATTTTGGCCAACAACTCTAGTAAGGGACTCGTGACATTAGCGTTTCAGGCTTCCTGGGATATATTCAGAAAAGCGGGTGGATGCCCGTCTATTTGGCATATATATCTCAGTGTGTAAAGACAGCTGGGGGTGACTTCTGGTGAGTGACTGACAGGTTTCGATTGATAAAGGGCACAACTAGTACAGTAAACGGCACCAAGTTTAGCTGTTGGATAAGTTGTATCAAGGATGATTCTTTATCTTCTTTTTCGGTTTTGTAGGTCATTTTCTTTTAAGACTAACTGCATAAATACAGGCTTCTTCCTGACTATGACATCATTCCCTTCATTACTTTGACTTCCTCGTTATCGTTTTATGAATACGTCTGGATACCTGCTCTAAGGAGATTGCAATCTATTTTTAGGGTCGAATTCCCGTGGTCTTTCTAAAAGTGATCCGGTCAGCCTTTGTTTGTATCTTATTGGACGAAAACTAGCAGAGATTAAGCACTGGCTGGTTCAGGTATTGTTGCTGCACATTCCTCTCTCGATTTTGCCATAATCTCGTCTTCTCACAGATAAATCAAAGAAGTGGAGTGTATGTTCTTATTTCACTAATTCTCTTCATTTATTTTAGGCTGTTTGCAAATGAGAAGAAACCTCAAAATAAAAGGTGCACATTTCTGCTAATCTTGTTCTTCTTGCTTTGATAGAGATCATAAGTAGGGATTTCAAACTTCACGCTGCCCAGTAAGATTGAAAGAGCCACACGATAAGATAAGCTCTTATACAAGAGAGAGACGGTATTATCATTCTTAACATTTTCTTAATTCATTAAAAGTCTGCATCAGTTGTCTTTCAACTTCGTAATTCCCATTTGTATTTAGTGAAATACGGTGTCTTGGAATGAACCCATATTCATCTATACGGGAACTTTTTCTTGATTGGACACTAGTCAGTAACTGATGTAATGTGTATGTGTGAGTCTAGTCCCATCTTTGGTGCGGACTGAATTCTATCAGTCAAGTTCGCAATGTGGCTCACCATCATGGTGCACTGTGAATTGTTAGGTATAAGATAGTTGGAAGCAGTCGGCAAGAAACCTTGGACCTAGCTCAGTAGCAACCTCTGTGACTGCAGCACTGGGTGACGCGGGTTTGAATCTCAGAAGGGACATGAGTTCCTTTGAGGTTGCAGATACTCCTTACTGATGAGTGCCAGCTAGCACGAAACCTAGGTCCAAGGCTTCCTGCCGATTACCTCCAACCACCTAAAACCAACAATATGTGAACTTTGTTCATTAACATTATTCTTTTTTCTTTTCATCATCAACTCTGAGTTACGTGGATGAAACGTTTCAGACTAGTGATAGTAATTTTAGTATTGAGCACTCTTCAAATCTCACTCTGGAGTACATGGTATCCATGATCAGTGATGGTAGAGTTCTGACACTAGGTAACTGATATATATATATATATATGTGTATGGTGGTCTCTCTTTCTGTTTGCTAGCTTAGTCTGTGACCATTTCACTTTGATGAACCTGTCTCCTTTAACAATGTATATCCCCGTTATATTATATATAATATGAGTGTTTGTTGACAGTCCGTTGCTTGGTGACATATATCCATATTATATGTGTGGTTGTTGACATGTCTGTTATATTTTGCTATGTATATATGGATCGATGCTCCATTATAATTAGCCATTCATGTTAAGACTATCTATTGATTGTTCACACACTTGTCTTGACATTCATATATATTTCGCTCTCACAATCTTGTGTGACACTTTGGTGTGATACCACTTATTGCTTCTCCTTGTGTTTGGAAAATAGAAGTATCATCGCAAACCTAGTGGTCTTCTGAATTCCGTCTTCTTGCGTCAGGACTTTTAAATTCTCGACCAGTATATAGCAATAATTTGGCGACGAGTACATAACAATTTGGAGACGGGGAAAACTACTATTAACCACTCAGCAGCAGGAACATAACAGTAACATTAAGTCAAACAACCCTGTAGGCTATTATTTTGTTTTCATCTACTAAAAGCAGGTTTCTGAATTTTGAAGATTTTCGAATCACTCATCTGTCCTGTCCGAATCAGTGTAGCATCAGAGTAATATTTTACTTTTTGAAATAATCTCTTAATACACTTATCATTCTTGTATGTAGGAGTAAGACTTAGGCAGTCTGATAGGGTATCATTCTATATTAAATAAACTTATCTTATATGTTAAGCAGCAATAGCTTGTGCTCCTCATATCGTTTAGGTATCAATATATTTCATCATATAGATGCATGTTACATGGAAGAGATATGCTTAGTGGAGCATAAAAGCTTAATGAATAAACAATATTACTTACTTCTGGCAGATTTAGCATTTCTTGATGCAATGGTAGATCTGAATTGAAGTAATTAAAAGACAATAGTCGATGTTAATGAAGGTTAAATATTTTACAAAGCGACTACGAACTGAAGGTAAGAGCATAAATGTTACATTCAGAGATATTACTTAACATATTAATAACCATTCTGTTACCAATGCTACTATCTTTTTGAGTTTTATCTTATTTTCTATAATAACTGCAACCATATTTCACTAAACTTATTCTAATCTTCATCATTACTTCCAATTACTGGTTTGTCTTCAATCAACCTTATTATTATTTCCTTTAATTCCTAGAGGAACATAGGGCTTCAGCCGCACACGTCTCCATGGCGTTTGCTTCTCTGCTAAAGTCTTCACCTGGCTCCAGGTCTGCCCATATGCTTTCATCTCCTCTTCAAATGGCCTCCTCTAAGTCACCCTTGCACTGACGACCAACTCGCCGCTTCCCGTTCGGATTCCACTCGAGGGCTTATCTAGTGGTGTCACTTGATGGTCTACCATAGTATGGCCAATCCACCTCCATTTCTTCCTGCATATTTGTTGCACAGTTAGTTCCTGCTGGGTTGGTTCGCTCCCAGAGATCCCTGTTGCTAATCGTTTATGGCCGGCCATCTGATCTTGAACGGAGTACAAGGCGAAGACAGCTGTTGATGAAGGTCTGTAGTTTGTTTGAAGTGCTCTTTGTGACGCACCAAGTTTCTGATACGTATAGTAGCACTGACTTCACATTGGAGTTGTAAATCCGGATCTGAATTTTTGAGCTGAGTGCTGTTGACCTCCACACAGACTTGAGAGATGAAACCTTGTCTTACTTTACTGAATTTAAAATAATAGATGTTTGTCACCCAACATAATTCTCCATTCTGTATATGTTAAATCATAGAGGTGCGATAAAAGACTTATATTTAGTGAAGTTAGAATCTAGTCAGCTAAATGTACTTGCATAGTTTTATTTGGTGCTGTTCTCAATCAGAATCACATTGAACAGTGATTTTCAGTGTGTCATCGACCATGTAAGTGATACACTATTACTGTTTTTGATCACAATTTCGTTTATTTTTGTAGGTGATATATACGTACATAAAGTGTTGAGTTGAATAGTGCATTTACAAGAGCTTGTGATAGGATTTAGACGTGAGAAATGAAGCGAAAAGTAATCTTACTTGACTAGATTTCGTATTTGTCGGGACTCATCGACAGGGTGAATCTACAAGCATGAAACTCATGAGAACTTTACCGACTTTCCAAGTCAGTAACTACCTTAAATTTAGTCTTTTGTAAGATTGAATTATATGCGAAAGTATAAGACGATTTTGTCGGTCGACAACTTCGGTGTCATCAACAAAGTTTACATCTGTTGTAGTCAGGGATTTTTAAATCATCATAAAACTAACTATGTACATCATATAAGCAAACTTTTAAGCATTGTTTTTATTTATTATTAGCTGAATGTTTTGGCAACCGCTTACCATTTAAATAAGCACTATGTAACTATGGCAATTATCTTATCAACTCATGAAGCACATTGTAAAGAGCGGTTGTCCTACAGTTTCTCAAAGAATGTGTTTATATTTACTATTGGCGTTCCTGTGCAGTTATGTAGATCAACACAGAAGAACACATAACCAACAACTATTCAGGTGTAACAGATAAATTAGTGAAACTTTAACGAAACTCTGAATTCTGGTTTAGTTTAATAACAACTTCCTTCTCTAAATGAGATTCTCATTTGAGTACTGTTTTTAGCATTATAATTCTGGGGTATACTAACTAATGTGCACGATTAGGTGTTTGATTTAGTCGAGAATAGTATCTAATAACATTTTTCTGTGCAGTCTAGAAAGGAATGAATCTTAGCAGTAGACAGATGCTACTTCAGGGTAATAGGTTAACGCACTACTATATTGCCAAATAGTCCTTGTTTGTCGGCATTGAATAGTTTCACAAGTTATTTGATAGACACTTAAGTTGGAGCTTTTAAACCTTCACGTAACTTGAAAATTTGCCAAACAAAATTTACTACCTAAAAGCTGAAGTGATACATGTTTAGAAAGCTTTTTCTTATGAAAAAGAATGTGTTACCTGCTGGTCAAAACATAACCGTAACTCGATGAAACTGGACGTATTCTACCAAGTATTAACTTCAATTCATTTGTCATTTTTTCAAGTTTTTGACTAGCATTTAGAACAGTCTTGTCGTTGTCTTTAGCGTCATCATTTAACTGATGCTCTTCATTAGTAGTATCATCACAGTTGTCTTGAATAGACATTTCCATTTGTATGCTTTGTTCATTATTTTTCACTTCATCATTCTGACTTGAGAGTACCTCGTTTACGTCATTTTTACGTTTGTTACTTTCAAATCGAACAGATTTACAAATATCATTCGTTGTGTCTTCCGTGGGAATTTGATCAACTTCTGATGGTTTTCTTGTACTCAAAGTATTCATGTTAGGTGTTTTGATCAAGATTTGTTTACCAGGTATTAGGTGTTTAGACGTATTCTACAATAAATGTAATGAAATCATCATCTATTTTAGCAATGAAATTTAAAAAACAACCATTAAAGCGACTTCAAATTTAAATCCGCCCCTTTTACAGGTCTGTCTCTTATATATATATATATATATATATATGATCATAGCTTGATTCCACGCCGTACTTTTGGTATAACTATGGAATTTTCAGCATGTGATATTGGTAGCTCAAATTTTGCAGGATAACCAATTGATATCAGGTGTGCTTCGGTAGGGGATAGAGCCCCGGACCATCTGCATGGTCAGCAAGAGTCCTAACCTCTGTGCCACCGAAGAATATATATATTCGTTACTAGGTGATTACTACAGTAGAGCTAACGAACAAGCATCCACAATATGTGTAATATATTCACCACGTAGATATTCACGCAGACAAGAGAGGAAATATCTCAATGAACTGAATTCTGTTCACTTTCGTCTCTATCGAATATGACTTAGGTAAGCCTTATTCTGTTCTAGCATGAGTCAGAAAATTTGTCTACTTTTTTATGCTTTCATTAATATGAGTTATATATGTCGCTCATTGAAACTTACTGTGTTTATTTATTATTTTTTTTGAAGTGATTATATGCGATAAATTGAAACATAAGGAGAATCGATTTGAAAGTAATATTTCAGGGTTTCTTTTCAGGGATTTCAATAGAGCTTGAGTAATTAAACAACAGTAGAGAGTTAGTTTGTCCTACTTTGGGACATTTTGGTAATGGGAACTCCGAACTTCATTTGAGATCATTCCCAGGGTTGCTACATCTTATGGTGGACACGTTATCGTTCAACAAGTTTTTGAATATTACACTGTTGTGAACATGAAAGATTTTGATGATGAGAAAGAAAGATTTGCTCTCAGAGTGAACTAAATTCTCGTTGGTATTTAAAAGATAGATATCAATGGACAAGGAGTAACAGGCTTTTATTCTTAAACAAATTTTTCCTACGGTTAGATTTACATAAGTTTTATAATAGGTTTCATAATTTTCAAGCTATATATATATATATATATATATATATATATATATATATATATATATATATATATATATATATTCCCATTCATCACGCCACTATTTCGCCATGTGATTTTATTACTAACACAGTTTCACCTTTATTTCGACACAACTTCATTATGGTAATATAAAGTGTAACAATCAACATATGGATGTCCTATGTTTTTCAATACATAACAATGTACATATGTAATTTGCTAATTCCAGGCAAATTTAAGTAGTGTATTGAGTAACGTCCTCAGAGAAGCAATAATAATAACAATTTGTACATCAGTAGAAAGTCCATTAAAGAAGAAACACAAGAAGTAAGTGTTCATGTTGGAAAGGATCTAATGTACTACAGACAACGATAAACAAAATGGATATTATTTGTGAGCTGTGAGGTTAGTGCTGTGCCAATGATTATTTAATGTTCATTGCATTTTTCCCAATAAACATCAGTGTTCTCTTTAAACACATCGGGTATTTTTGAGATCTGTTGTATACACCTGTTTCTTTTAGAGAATTCTTAGAAAACGACAGTAAAAGCATAAACAGAAAAACAACGGACTCACTTTATTTCTTATTTTTTTATCAGTTATTTCGGGCCTAGGCGGCACAGCAGTTAGGACGCTCGCCAACCATGCACATAGTCCGGAGTTCGATCCCCAACCGACGCTTTGCTTTACCTCGCCTAGCCAGAAATAAGGCTGGTAAAGAGGAAAGGTTGGGCACTGTAAAAATAAGCACTGCTACAGAAAAATCAAGCCTCTAGCTTGAAGTCCTATGTTTCACAGGGAACGTGAAGAAATAAAATAATTTTGGAACCGTAAAACTTTTGTTCACTGACATTTTACTCATAAGGATCTTAGAATTCTCAAGTCCCTAAGAAGTACTATGAAGACTTGGAGTAGTACGTTAACTAGTTTCACTTTCCAAATATTTTTGCTTAAATTTACAGACAGAGTTTCAGTATTAAGGGAGAATTTATTTTTAGTGGAAAATGAGATAAACTGTTATTTTTTTTAAATGTTTTGGTTTGGTGGTGTGATGAATAACAATTGCGTTAACTATCTATAAAAGATTAGTATAAATTAGGATAAAACAGCTATTCAAGAGAATAAACATTACTGTACAATTCAAAGCCTTTGGACGCCATTTGTAACTAAAAAGGACTTAGTAACTGACACATTCACATATAAAAAGACTACAGTTTATTGGTAAATTTGGTAAATTTTCAATATGGCGTACAACTCTAATAAGCTTTGACAACGATACTATCATATGAATCAGTTGCACGATGTACATTTCAAAGTAAAATAGGGTCGTAGCTAACTTCGTGAATAGGAAATACTTAAGCGATAATAGGTGATCTGCTCAGCTGCTGGATGTTTCCCACTAATTTATTAGAATAGTCAGAAACTACTCATACCAGCTAAGATAATTCTCGGATGAAGTTGGCTGTAAGACCGGAGATATATTTCCTGTTGTTTGCGAGTGAGCATATCAGTTGTGCATTGGATCAACTTACTCACTCTGAAGAACCAAACTAGTTAAATCTGCCTCAGGATGGCTATTGAACGTCATTTATGCCTGTTAGTGACTTCCAGCTACTCATATCTATTTGAAGCATATGTTTTGAAGCTTTCGCGATAAGGACGTTAAGAATTGTGTTCCATAATCTACACTATTCAAATTTGTATGTTATTCTGATAATCTAGTGTTGTCTGCCAGGAATAATTTAGACAGAAAAAAGCTCAGAGATAAGTACATTATTAACTTAGAGATGAAATTTTAGGATATAGTGCACACTGTATTCGCTATACTGAAGTTATTAGAAATGATGAATATTAAAAATATGAAAGTTACGCATTTTATACACTTACTATTTCTTCACAACTTTTAAGAGAACTTATTCGATTTGTAACAGATGTTTTGCCTTCATACAACATATCGACTCCGTAATGCCATCTTCTCAATTTACGCTCTATTTGGCTGATATTTTCAGAACATGTTTCCCAATCATATAAGCAAAAGTCTAATATAAAAAAATATTAGTAATAACACTGTTATATGTTTCCATATGTTTCTATAATGAACATCGAAGTAAGTCTATCAACAGTAATAATAATAAACTAAATAAACAACATTATGTTTATTGAGGTGGTTGTTGGTTCTGTGGTTGAATATTCACCAACGGATCGTGTGCTCGGGTGTTCGATACCCGGCCGATGAACTCCTTAATGTCACTTAGCCAGTAGTAAGCCCAGTATAGACAGAAGGTTGAGTGTGAGTCTAGGAATCTCACCAAGTCAAAATAAAAAGCACTACTACTGAAACTTTACAGCTCAAAGTTTGTTGCTATATGTTCCATTCGGAACATAAAGGATGAATGTTTAATGATACACTTTGTAATTGAAAAGAAATTCTGAAACCATTATGGTATTATTTTAGTTATATTTCCAAAACAAAATCTTTCTTTAGTGGTGAATAAATAGAATTATTATCAGAAGTTTTATACTATACAGAACAATGAATACCGAAGATGCTTTGTTTTTTAAAAGTTTCTTTTAATTCTGTTGGGGATTTTGGTTTTGATTTGAAAAACCTCAGGGAAAGCTTTCTGTGTTATCTTAAGGTGTCTGATCTGATTCTTGCATTTTTTTTCAAATCGTGGAATATACCCATTGGAAAATTAGATTGAAAAGAACAAGAAGTTCAGCAAAGATATCTTTACGGCGATTTCACTCTCAAAAGCTGTACAATCACATTTATATAGATCAGTTTACATGGATACAATTCTTATTTGTTTAATTCCAGATAGTAACGAAGGTGATAATAATTTTCATCCTATTTTTCAGTTATAAAATCAGTTATTTTAATTTTGTTTCCATGCTCCTCCTGATCACACTTGTTATCCGTTTAGAATAACCATTTTACAATTATATTCTATTCCTGTGTAATTTTTCGTCTCTATGCCTCTTGTAATCTATATTCACACCTCCTAACTTACATTTCAAGTTGAAAATTTTGATTTCAGTTTGTTTCCATGCTAATTTTGTTCACACCTGTAATTCGTTCTATCCCTGCGTCTCTAAACCTCTTGTAATTCATATCAGGTTGAATCTAATTATCACCTTTCATTCGCCTCTAAAATTAATTCTGCAGTTATCAAATATTAATTTTGGATACGTTGTAACTGTTTTCTAATCCTATGCAATCTTGTCCCTATTTGTACCTTTAAACTTTCATATCAAGTTGAAAATTATTATCACCTTCGTTACTATCTGGAATTAAACAAATACGAAGTGTATCCATGTAAACTGATCTATATAAATGTGATTCTACAGCTTTTGAGAGTGAAATCGCCGTAAAGATATCTTTGCTGAACTTCTTGATCTGGTTCTGTTAGTAAAAATATCACTCTACTGTTCTTTAATCATAGTTTTAGGAATATCAGACAGATGAGCTTTTCCATGGTTAATATATGATCTAGCACTACTGAATAATAGAAGCTGAATTAATCCTCTATCTGCACATAAAGTAGGACATGATAGAAAGGGCGACAATGAAATGAAAATAATATTATCAGAGATTATAGACTCCTATAAAATAACCAGAAAAGAGAGAGCAAATGAAGAAATGCTATGGTATAAGTATAAAACTTGGGCGCTGTGGTCGAGTATAACTCCATTATAGATAAGATTTTATTTTGATAAATCACAGAGTGTTATACAGTAATATTAACTGATGACGTTTAGAGTACAAACTATTGCTCATAATCATATCATTCACATATATATATATATTCATATATGTAACTGAAGTATAAAGTTGTGTGAGTGACTTGTTATGTTTATGAGCAATAGTTTGTGCTCGAAACGTCATCAGTTAATATAACTGCATAACACAGTGTGATTTATCAGAAAATAAAATCTTATCTATAAAGAAGAAATTTTATGCTTTAGTAAAGCTGACATTGAGGTGGGAATGGGGATTTGCCACTTTTCTACCCTAAACGCCATCATTATTTGTCAACAATGACAGGCTTTTTGAAAAGTACATCAAACATAATCATACATGAAAAGCACTTATGTGGTTAAATTAACAAATCTCTCAATCCAGTCTTCAACTTCTATTTTGTCTGGAAGTTGAAAGAAATTAATGAATATGCTATCAGTTTTTAACTTTTATTCATAAAACCTTTCATGCTCTGACAGGTATATCGAATTAAGCGTCTTCTTTTCTTCACATTACAGACTATTTGAACTTCACTGATGTAGAAAAGTATCTCTGGTAGATGGATATCTTCGTTTTCATTGATTTATTGGATAGGCGGTATCTGAAACATAAATTCATTATTTTTGCTAAAATTTGAAGTGTTCAATATAAAGATGTCTGAATACTGCAATGGAACCATGTGTAAAGCTTTGTGAAATGAAAATTCATGCAAGCAAATGTAATCTTGGAAACTAAAGATGTCAGTTTGAAGTGAAGAATCCCGAAAATTCTCTCTTTTGAGGCGTATTTCCGTGCATATAAACTCAGAAAGAAATAAGCTACTCTTAAACGTACGTCGACATTCTGACACCAAGAATAACAAGAATAAATATCAGTCTGTAAATACGCAGCCACTGTGCAAACAGAAATCTGTAAGGTTATTATTAAAAATTCATCCCTTTTATCTCTAAACTTCCGCAGGTTGGGCTTTAATTTTGAGGGGGATTTGCTTTGATATATATTGGATATCGAGTGAAAGAAATAGTACAGTCTGATGGAATGATTTGCATTCATCCCTTGGTCTGATAAGCTTCTTTGTTTTTGGAAATTTTATGATATAAAAGGCAGAAACTGTTATCCTATGACGAAGGAAAGATTTTTATCTCTTTTGCCAATCAACTTTCGAGACGTTTATTTTTCGTTACTTATCCATACTACTTATAAGTAGTCGGGAATAATTTTCTTTCTGTGTTGGTCTACTTTTGAATAATTAAAATAAGGCATTAAAAATAGCATAAAAACATACTTGTTGATCTTTCATTTCCTGAGGTAAAATTCGCTGTGTCTGCCTCTGACTTGGTGAATCTTGTGCTGTCTTTTGAAGATATTGTCTCAGTTCTAGAGTACGTTGAAGTTATGCGTTTTTTGAGAGGATTGCGTCTGTTGTTCATTATCTCTTCTTCCTCTTGATTATCTGAATATTTTGCTGACCTTAATGTTAACATATCTTTTTGCAGTTTGCTTATCTTTTGACGTCTTGTTTTGGATTCCAGTTCTTCCTATGTTGATGTTCAAAAGTGAATTTTAGCTTTTGTTCAATGCTAACTAACGGTCTAATTATTGAAGGTTATTTTAATCAAATTAAATGAAATTTTTGTAATGGCTTGCAAAGTATGGCTAAATTCAAAAATTCGAGAAATCTTGAATTACCATCTTATTTAAACAGTTGATTTTGTAACTGATTTTCACTGACTACCACAGTTTTCCTACAACAAACTTTCTTATTTATCTTAAAATAATAACCATCTCTTGTTTGAAAAACGAAGTGTAAGCATATTACGAGGGCCTAATCTTACTTCTAGTTCTCGCTGCACAAAAGTTACAAGAGCCTAGAGGGAAACTTTTCTCAGTATCCAACATCACAGGTACATGGAAGTGATGAATATCAAGACATCCGGAGCTTAGGTCTTTGTTCCCATTGATTCCAGGCATCTCATTTGCTTTAAAGTATTTATTTCAGAGTGTAAAATGCACGGTAGAACTAATTTCATATATTTTTATACTTTTTAAAGGATATTTGCTCTGAAATGGTAAGAAGATATGCGTGAAGGAGAATTATTTTGATAACCAAAGACGAAAAATTTGGATTTTCATAATTTTGCAGTTTGAACAGGTTTTCCTAGCTGAATAAATCAACTTACATATCTAAACTCATTGTTACAAAACAAAGAGTGTGAAATAACTATATTTACTGAATGGTACTCAAGGCAGTGTAATAGCTGATATCTTATGTAAATAATGATTAAATTAAATAAAGTTAGTTTCCAAGGCTAAATATACCACTGATGATATAATTGAAGAACTATTGGATACCAGGACTGGATACAAATTTAAATTACTGTTTCAAACAATTTCAAAATATCAGTCATTGGAGGGAATAATCAAATTTCAAAATATTTCACTTGAAATCAGCTTAAGTTTCTTTTCTCATTAATTATGGCATTAGTAGTTCTTAGATTTACTTATTAGTATAACATCATTATTTCTGATAAGGATAGAATTATGTGGTTCTGTATTTTAGTGATTCCTTACAAACACATGATAAAGAATCTGGGCCATTAAAACACTTGTGGAACCAACGATTCACCACAGTTGATTCTTTCATTCATTGTGTCTTAAAGGTTTCGGTTGACTTATGTCGAATATTCTGTCAAGGTAAATTCCAAGTACAGAGAGCAATAGAACTGTCTAAAAGTGGTCACAGTAGAATAAATTTATTTGATGTGGATGATGAAAGACCAGTGTATATGTTTTTTTACTTCAGCGTGAATTAAAATCTGTTTGAGATTCTATCATCTGTATTCGTACACTTAATGCAGACGTCACTTTAAGTTGAAATAATCATTCAGGTCTCTGGAGTACCTTTCATCCGATCTCCCGGGGGCTGGATATTTCATTTATCAGAGATAAAATGAGATACAAAAGTAGCGATTTTCAACGTATTCACATAATTAGAACTGATACAGCTAGATCAATATAACTAATTATTGATAAAAACAATTGGAAAAGTTCCAGTTTATAAGCGTTTTGCTTCTTAAACAAAAATCTCATACTGGATGACACATTTTAACACCTGAATCATACCAAAAAAGGCAAGTGGACTAAAATCCTACCTAATCACCAATGTCAATATAATTGTGAAAGACGGGAAAACATGGACTTAGGTGCAGAAGTTAACAATCTCTATAGATGCGGTGTTGAAACTGACAGTAGGACACGAGAAGTGAAATCGCATGTTACTGATATCAGAGTCAAATATTCAGCCTTCTATTATTTAAGCCATGACGTCTTTAATAAACGTGCATAAAATGAACAAATCTCAGTAACAATCTTAACGGTGTTTTCACTAGGTGAAATGACTTACAGTTAAATAATTTAATATAGATGGATTGAAAGCGTCGGTGGCACAGCGGTAGAATTATCGCCAACTACGCATATGATTCGGGGTTCGATAAACAGCCATCTCACTCCTTTACCTCGGTAAACCACTACTGAGACTGTTAATGAGGCGAGGTTGGGCATGGGGCTATCAATCCCTGCCCGCAAAAAACACCACTGCTACTGAAACTTCAAAGCTCTAGCTTGAAGCCCTATGTTCCACTGGGAACATAAAGATATTAAAAAAAGCATGAAAGAAGGAGTGTTTGAAAAAACTTTGTCTGTACACGGACTTCTAACTTTTCTGTTTCTTATAATATTTTCTCTTAATAACAACTGCTACTACCAGGTGAAAGTATCTTTTTACGTAGCCTAAATAGTACTTAAATTCGCCGCTACCTGATATCTCATAAAACTCAGATGATGCCGAATTTCATTTATTATCCATCAATAATTAATTAGCAAAGCCATTTATTTCCGTGATAAATTATATTTTCACAATAGCCTACTGTGTCAATAAGAATTATGTTCTTTTGTTTTCAACACATCTAGTTATTGAGTTAATCAATAAAGCCTTTCTTTTTTAAGATTTTAAGCCTTCCTTTATATTAGACCTCTTTTTTAGGCTAAGTAAATTTAATTTGATGACATGGTTGTTTCTATGGCTGTAGCTTTAGGTTTCTAAGAAAACCACAGCTTTGTCAGTCAAGGTTATAGGTACACCTTCCTCAGTAAAATCATTAAGCACAAAACTAATATATGTTCCATCTTTTCAGACTTCCTGATCGACTCAACATCACATGCGTCAATTTACTACTCATATTTATATATGACATACTAGTTCAGAAAACTAGAAGAAGACTAAGAACCAGGCAATGTATTACTGAGAACTCTTCATTGGACGCTGGATTACTAGCTGGGTGTTCAGAAAGTCGGTACACGACACCCAGTGTGAAACTAGATTATCATTTCGCTGAAATAATAGGAAGTTGTGTCAGGCTGTGATGCAAATTAATGATACACAACTATCCGTTCAACATTATTACATAAATTATCCATTTAGGACTTCTCCTGTCACTTCTAATCATAATAAATTAAAAAGGATAATTACTGATGAAGTTATCCAGGATAGCAGCTGGCCCTCGTAGTTCAGTTAGTATAGCCCGGAGTGACCAACTGGAATCATACCACGATCTAGGTTCTTATTTTAACCTCAGTCATCATCCACCGGATTTATAGCAGTATGACAACCTCGCCTAGATTACTAGCTCGCTAGTTTTCTAGCCGGTCCCAAGCCCGGATAAAGAGGGTGGGTTAGGGTGTGGTGCTAGCAACTCCACCCCCAAAACTTAACCAAATCGCTACAGAAACTTCACCGCACAAATATATTAAAAATTCAATAGCAGTACAACAGTCCAAAACTATTTCAGGTAGTCTCACTTACAAATAGAAAACTGAAAGTTTCGAATCAACAAAAGTTATGGGATCCTTAGTTTTTGCTAGCTGCCTTTTAAAAGTGTGACAACCCTTAGAGTTAGAACCAGAAATCAAATTCAGTTTTGTCTTTTAATTAAAATTTTCTTTAAAATTCAAGCATATGATTTGTTCAAAATAAGTACACAATATTTCAATATTATGAAAACAATCAGTTCATGATTCATCGTGAAGGCCATCTTCACAAAGTACTTTAATTGTTGTTTACAGCGACATTTTGAAATGATATAACTATGTAGGAAAACAAAAACTCTCTGGTGAATAATAAAAATATACACTAATACTTTTTAACTTGATTAAAAAAATACTGATTGCTAGAATTTAACTGAAATCAACTGCTGTTGAGTAGCTTCCAGTAAACTTTAACAATAGTAATGGAGTACATAAAAAAACAAGACCAGAGGTTTAAATGTACACATCGATTTTTAAATACAATAAGAAGAGTTGAAGGAATGTAACTAATACAACTGAGCACAAAGTGATATAGATGTATATATTTATATGTTTTGTGCTATTTTACACTTCCAAATACACGATTTTATCTCCCATTATGAAACTAAAATGAAGGAATCAAAAAAACAAATGAGAAAAAGAATTTTAAAAAAGTGATTATCAGAAAATAAAACAACAAAGAAAAGTTTGAAGCAATTCAAAAGTGAGGTAAAATGAAACTTTCCAGTTTTACATCTTTTTTTAAAATAGGAGAGTATTTTTGATGTTTAAAAATAGTGAGACAGAATAACTAGGTATATGGAATGTTCTGGTCATTGAAGAATTAAATGAAACAGCAATTAAGAAATGAAAATTCCGATTTGTAAGCAAAGAAGAAACAGTTATCTCATAACTTTGAGGAATGTTGAGGTAGTGAGGCAAAATTTATACCTCAGATGGATATTTTTGATGTTGTTTTGTTTTCTAAGCTGAATGGTTTAATAAACTAAGATCTCATGCTGTATTGAGATAAAATATTCAACCACATTTTCAGTATGAAATCTTTATATGAGATGAAATGACTAATTAGAAAGGATAAGTTACTGATTTATTTTTAAGTTTTTCTTAGTCTTCTTTTCTTGGAAGTTAAAACTTGATATTGCTCTAGTGATAATTTGTTTTTCTAAAAGTCTTTATGCAATACACATCCAGGTTTTAAAATATTTTATTTCACTGCAACTCTACTGTACTGTTTTAATTTTACCACTCATTTTAACTGTCAGTAGAAGAAGTCTTGTACAAATGTTTCAAATATTTAAGTTATAAACAATAGAATTTTAGTTACATGGAGTTTATTCAAGTGTTGTTTAAGTGAATACAAGATATCTAATAATTTTCCACCCCCTCCCATACACTACTCCGTAAGGACAAAGGTGGGTAGACTTGTAACCTTCTCCGAAAATGCTCTCATGTGGCCTCTGCGAGATAAGCCCTACCCACTGTTCGCAGAGGACGGGTGTATTCCTTACAGAAGTGAAGTGTTAGACACGAACGTTTCTGGCTTACAAGCGGCTTGCAGATATGCTGACCTACCTGCGAAAGCTAGGAAACGTTGATTCTTTACCCATGATTTACATAGGCTCCATAATCCAAATAGATCGGATGGTATATGAGCCTGCTTTGGTTGCCGAAAACCATGGGGACGCAGCTCCTGACTCTTCCACTACATTGTGGGCCAGAATTCAGGTCAAAGGTGTGGGCGTTGGACCCTTAGGGAAACCACCTGAGCACCTGAGCAATATTCTGAATTCTCACACAAACTATGAGTCTTCTACAGCTTATCTTTGGGTACTCATTGTGTACCGATTTTGTATTTTAGTAATAATATGATATTATTTTTCCACAAAAATTGTAACAATGCAAACGGTTAACGTAATTATAAATATACCCTTGCAGGCTTACAATGCGGGTATCAGTACGATAGAGGACTGGTGGCCTTCTTGAATCTGCGGGGTGCTTGAATTTCGAGCCATCACAATGTATCATATTTTCTCTTGTTTTCATTGTTTAAACCATTCACTTGTCTATTTGAGTCACACAAGGTACTCACGCACATTTTGAATTTGCTTTTAAAATACCCATTTTCATTTCTCGAAGACGAAGGAAAAATATAAGGGATTAGCCTGTGCTTCAGATCAGACAGTATTGCGTTAAATTACATGCTACAGCTAGCTAATTTACTTAAAGATGCTGGATGAGAAGAGAATGTTATGCAATAAATTAATGTGCGAATTTTGTACATTTTTCTAGCCTTTTGTCAAGAATGATTCTTTTGTTACTGTCAATACTATTTTTAGTATACTGTGTGCGAAACCTAACATATCAGAAACAAGTAACTCTGTATCAAAAGCAAATCGGGATGTTTTGAATAGACGTATGTTTATATATACATGTACAGTGGATGGTTCTGAACTCTACTGCAGTCACACCTAAGAGGAGTTGGTAAGATGTGAACATTCAGTGTCTATATGTTCAAGTAAATATGCCTTCAACAGGTAAATTGAATATATTTACAGGTTAAGCTCATATTTAACAACTAAAAGAGTTTAGGATCTTCCAGTTATTATATATTATAAAGTCTAAATAATAAATAAAGTAAATAAATAAAAAAGTATCATTAATTTTATTCATAGGGTTAACTGACAATCTGAGTGAATACTACGGTTCCAAATATTTACTTAAGCTAGTTCCAGTCAGTTTTTACTAGTAAAACGTTGTGTAGAAATCTTTCTTTTATCATGAACTTTCTGTTGCAATCTACCGATAACCAATCAGTGATGTCACCGTCCTATGTAAGCCTGGTGTGGATATAAATGGGTTAACTCCTTTGTGAATAGCTATTAAGATATTTAAGCGACAATCTAGATTGATTGCAATGAGTCAAATTGAAGTTAACAGCTTCTTGGTGTCAAAGTTATACAGCAAACCATGTTAAACACTGCTTTCTTAACCTTTCGGCTGTGTTACGACCCTCTCTCAAACCATTTCTTCCTCCCATAATAATCAATAACTAAACAAATTAAATAAGTAACACAAGAACCTCCAACTGTGTTTCCCAATTTACATGTACGTTCCAAAGCACATACATCGGAAGAACAGAGAGAAGGGTTAGTGTCCCAATTTATGAACAAATACCAAAGAACCTGAGACTAAAAGGTCCGAAAGCATTAAACAGTGCGATTGCTCGTCATATATTGGACACTGGTCATATTGTAGACAACCTGAAGTCGTTCAAAATAATCAACAAGCAAAAGAAACCTAGCTTGCTACGCTTTACTGAAGCAATTGCTATCAAACGACTTAAACCAAATCTGTGTACGTAGAAAGAGACAGTGGTGAATCTTGCACTGCCCTGGTGATAACAAAAAACATATACAACTTTCATGAGTCACCCTTTTTTCATGTTTAGAAAACTCTACTCTCTCATCTAAACATGACTCACCCTACCTTGTTTCTTTTCTTTCCTTTTTTCTATTGGCTATTAAATAAGACATTTTCTTTAGTTACGTAATCTACTTTTTGTTATGCTCTTTCTAGCTAAACCTTGTTTCTGTACACACACATATATATACGCAACTCTGTTTTTTGTTTTCATGTCTAATTGTCTAGTTATTCTATAAATAGTCAGTGTTTGTAACTCCTAATCAGTTAAATCATTCCGGACCAATGTTACTTTTAATTCCTACCAATTACTCCTTATGATCGTGGAAAAGTACGTTTATATCTTTAATGTAATTCTTTTTTTAACGTTCAGATTGTATCCAGTTGAGAAGAATCCTCGAAACTATAAAAGATGAGCTCATATTATCCTGGTACAATTGTTGTTCTTGCTTTGTTCAATACAAGAACAGTTAAAATGCTTGTCAAAATAGATAAAGAAATAAGCGAATAAGCGAAATACACTTGTTTTTAATGCTTTGCTTGTCATTAGTGTTACTAAACGCTGAAGTTATTTCATGTGTGGGAAAAAAACTATGGAAATTTTGTTTTTTGACAATTTTTCCATTATACCAAACTTTGGATCTGACTAGTAAGTAATACAACTTAGTAGACTGCCGTCTATACGAACTTAATGTGCTAATGAAAACCATTTTGAACATTATTCGTAAATAACGTCAAATGCAACAACGATGGCATTACTGGCAAACAAACAAACAGGAAATAAAATGGATCGATGACAAGAAAGCCTTTAGTTAGTATTTAATTGGTGGATGGTGACTAGCAGTGGAATCTAGGATGCGCATTTCGTCCTATTTGGGACTTCGTCATCTGGATGTACCTGCATTTCTCAGTGAGTGATGACGTTCCCACCGAGGCTCGAACCCAGTACCCATAGTTTCATCGTCGAAGCATCTGCACAAGAAGCCGACATGTCAACCTGAGACCGAGCACTTCGGTCCAATCAATCGACGGGAAAATCAAAAATTCAATTCAAGAAAGCCTTTACTTTCTCAAAAAAAAACAGTCAAAATACCTCGTAGTGATGTTTTTAAGGGATTTTGAAAAACACTAATTTCATTGATTAGTTCAATGCATCAGATCACATAATACAATGTGGCCTTCACAAAAATCAGTAAACAAAAAACGCATTATCAATGCAAAATAACTGTAAAATACAGTGTTTTTTATATTTTAGGCAAAAACTAAGTGAAATTAGATATGTTTAACAACTTTCCATGAATTTTTCTAAAAAATACTTCAAGTTGGAAATAACGATATACGCTTTGCTTTTTGAGTTAAGCGTTATGTTTGTTAGACTGTAGGCATTCTTTGGGACCATTCGGGCCTCACTGTAAATGCCATACTAACAAAATATAACCCAGAGGAGACGATTATAAATTAGGGCCAGGGTAGTACAGTGAAGAAAAATGCTTGATCTCTAGAAGTCATTTATCTGGAGTTTATATTAATATTTATATTCACTGTGTAGCAACAGAAGACAAGGGCCAGGTAACAGATCGTTTATTAAAGAAACCATCACATATTTATAGATTTTCATGTACGTATTATAGATTAATGTTAGCAGAAAAACACAGTCTTTTGATTGGTTGTTTCTCACAGAAAGTTAACGTTGCATCTCTTTGTGGCTGTTTCTTGAATGTCAGATCATCTTTATGTTAATTGTATTCGCCTACGGAAGCCCTTTGTTCTCATTTACCTCACGACCAATATTGGGGACATAAACATTAACGTAAGTTACTGTCTACCAACTTTGGCTAGCAGCCAGCTCTCACCGCAATTGTAATAAAATAACAAAGTCCTAATAGAACTTTGAGTTGAAATTTCAGAATAAGCGTAATTTTGAAAAAGTAAACTGATGATTTCACTATTAGCTTCAATACCTTTGAGTGTTTGAATATATCTTATATGTGACACTATTGTTCAGTGAGTGTACCGCGACATACACTGCTGGATGGAGCACTTTGTCCAGTATTTTAAGAATATTAAATCTACTAGTAATTATTTAGTATATTCTGCAGCTACTCATTTCAGTTTGTAGTGTATACCACATAGATTTCATTTTCTCTAACCAGATAAAATGTATAGTGTAGATTGCAAGGCAGACTGATGTCTCAGTATCCCAGTTTCGAATGGAAAACATTGATATCTTAAGGTGCAGTGTAAAACTGTTAAGTCGCTATCGCTTTGGATAGTACGCTTGTCAGAAAATGATAGATAAACTATATTTGACGACTAGTCTACAAACGAGGAGTCTATTCCTAACATCATTTAAGTCATTAAAAAAATATTATAGAAAGTATAAAATGCGTACGTAAAAATTACAACAACTCACTTGTTTCAGTTGAGATTTGATTTTGTCGTTTGGTCTTTGCTGTTGATTTATTTTACTCTTGCTGAACAAAACTTTATCACGTTGTTCTTCTTGTAACTAGAAAAGGCGTGATAAAACTAGTTAGTGGCTTTTAAAAGGCAATAAACTTATTTTTACATTTGTTCAAAAATGTGTAGCTTAAGAAAGTGGAGTTGAAAGTCACTTTTGAGAAGCCTGTTAGGCATTAAATTTATGACTGTGACAGTCAGTAGTAGGGTAGAAAATAACCGAATACTTTGCTAGTCTTATTGTCGGATGAAACACAATGTGGGATTTATACTGATTTATTATTAAATTCAGTGTCTGTGACAAAATCGATGTTTTAACCGGAGAATTCAGTGAGAAGTTACAGACTGTTGTAACACAAATACATTACTTAATTTACTTTGTGCTGAATGAATGGATGAAACATATGATACCACAACTTTAAAAGCTAAGTTCTATACATTTTTATCACCAATTAATATAACTGTGTAAGCATCAGTGGTTAAATGCTCGCAAGCCACAGTCGACACTATCTTGAACACCGTCTGTTTTACCATCCTGTGTTAAGCTTGAGCGTACAGCTAGCAAATCCACTGAATAATAAACTACACGGTGAAGTTAAACAATAGCGTCTAAAGGGATGCCAACGCTCCAATGTCCTTGAATGCATGCTAGTCGTTGGCTAACCATACCTGTCACTACTGCAACGCAAATATGTGCTCTTTTCACCTACTTAGGAGCGAATTTCATCCTGGTCACGTTTTTAAGTACTGTTTAGATAATGTGTCAATAGTTCTCGAGGGTTATGATTAGGATTAGGACAAGGGTTATAGTTTGGTTTAGTGTGAAGTTTAGGGTTAGGGTCAGGATTAAGGTTAGGGTAACGATTAGGGATAGATTTGGAGTCGGTATTATTTATTTTAATGTGTTTTATTATCCACACGTTGCCAGTAAGTAGTCATCGATCCCCTTGCTGGAAACCATAGTAATTTAACCGACGGCTTTTGGGAAAGACTGGAAAACAGGATAAGAGTGATAAACGGGTCACAAAACAAGCTCACCCTAAGTCACCTTGGTCAATACATGCGCAGAAACTGGTCTAACTCAAAAAACTGATATTCCTCATCATAAGTGAGAAGTATTTTTAAACCATGTCAGAGAAGGATATTCTGTTTAATGTATTTCCATGCAATTTTTGTAAATAAATGTCGCTTTTTGTGCAAAATTTGCTTATTTTTATAATTGGTTAACTCAAGGTCACTGTTGCGTTCATATCACTTGAGACGCTATTGTGTAAATTTGCCGACTACACTCCTACTACTGGAATTTCAAAGTTCAAGGCCCTGTGCTCCACTTAAAACCCCAGGCTTCAAGAAGAAACAAAACCGTATGTAGCTAACTGTTTGTGAAATGTTACACGAAACTTTAGGCATATGTAAATACAGATATACTAAATTTATGCTTTGATCTAACTTACTAGTAGATTTCTTTCCATAATATCTTGAGCTAAACAGATAAATAAGGGAATTTTCGAATCAATTTGTCGTTTTATACGAAGCATTAAATTTCTTTCAGCCATCATTTTAATTTTCTTTAAACCATCCGGATTACGACGACTTTGAATTAAGCGGTCAAAATTTCTACTGCTTAACACATAAGCTGTAATTGATTCTGTACAGATAGCAGTTTGCATATAGGTCTTTAAATCGAAACCATATTCAAATTCACCTATATATGTATGCATGTTCATTTAAATAACAGATGAAATCTATTAGGTGTACATTTTAATAATATAGCAAAGTAATTAAAACAAATTTTTGTCTTCTGTATTTATCATGTATTCATTTGAAATGGCTCTTAGTTATTTAAATAGCCCTTTAAATCAAATCACTTAGCGAAATTTTAACTGTTGATAAACGTTTGTCTAGCGGCGATTCTAGTAATGAGATCTTATAGGCTGTAGAAGTTGACAATTCAGTGAATTACGTAGTAGAAACGAAATCTTACAGATAAAGTTCAGCGGTGTTGTTGAGTGAATTTGGCAAGTGTAGATCTTTTAACAATAAATCAGCAACTGTAATATTTACGCTATTAGGCGTTACGTTTCTCAGAACGACAACATATATCGTCTTCCAATGAGTAAAACTGAAAGAAAAATATTATTTGTTCTTCCCTTTTTATAGATCTTGTATCGTACATAATCTTGTCAGAAATGATTTATTGAAGTAACCACCATTGATATTATTATATTATTATTCTTTCCTTGGATTCCTAATGGAACATAGGGCTTCAACTGCACGTCTCCACTTGCTTCCGTCTTCTGCTATACTTTTCACCTGCATCCATGTTAGTCCATACTCTTTCAACTCCTCTTCACACGATCTCCTCCATGTCACCCGTACACCGACGTCCCACCGGCCGCTTCCCTTTCGGCCTGGTTCCACTCCAGCAATGGCCTGACGCGAGCACGATGTCACCCAGTGGCCTCCTCAGCGAGTCCCCAATCCATCCATCTCCACTTTCTCCTGCATATTTGTTGTTTGGCGATTGATTGTTGTTTTGTTTGTTTGTTTGTTTGTTCCGAGCCATAGTTTCTTGTTGGTGATTCTTTCCGGCCCGGCCATCTGATCTTCAGTATAAGGCGAAGACAGTTGTTGATAAAGGTTTGCAGCAGGCTGTTGGAAATATTCTTTGTGAGCCGCCCGTCAAGTTTCTGATCCGTATAGAAGAACTGACTCACTTGACGTTTGTATTGAAAGTCCGAATTTTGTTGTGTGCCGGAGGCATAGCGGTTAGGACGCTCGCCGACCATGCACATGGTCTGGGGTTCGATTTCCGGCCGACGTACTCCTCTCTTCAGCCTCGCCTAAGTTACTAGCCAGCTAGTTTTCTAGTCGGTCCCAAGCCTGCATAAAGGGGAAGGGTTGTGGCGTGGTGCTAGCAACTCCACCCCCAAAACTTAGCAAAAGCGATACAGAAACTTCAACGCACAAATATATTAAAAATTTTAAAATTATAAACCATCATTGATAAGATATGACTAAATCGACCTGGTTATCACGCAAAAAAATATTAAGGTAATCATGAAGCTTTCTGTCTTGTTACATGCGCTTCAGTCAACTTTTGTTGTTCAAACGTTACACCAGTGAATTTTTCTATTCTTCAAGAATTGAAGTTGTATCGCTTGTGCGAAGATTTAAAATGTTAAACACTCAGATAAAGTTTCAAGCATCACATTCTTGCTATGTTTGAATGTATAATCCTTGAAAACTTTTGCTCCGTGTCACCTAACTGTGTGATGGTGTGTTAATACATCTCTGAGTTAGAAGCCACTTAAAAACATAATCAGTACCTAGGTTTATACCCCTACAGTAGCCAGAGTACCAGTGAAAACTAGACCACTGGACGGTTGAAGACTGATCTTATTTAAATTATTTCTTCGAGAATCTCATGACCGAGTGTTTTTCAGCTGTTAGTTGTGCAAAGATGTCACAAGATTTAAAGTAGACCCCGTCATGAGTAAGCCCCAGTAAGATGAACATCGGAGTCTGTGGGATTGCCTGACTACTGTTTCTTCCTATGAAACATCCAGTGAGGGTCTATCTGAAGGTTATAGGGTTTCAAGGAGAGTTGTTTCACCGTTGACGACCGATCTGAAATTAAAACATATGTGACTTTCACTTTCGTCAGTTGGATAAATAGGTTCACCAACATTCTACTGGCCTTGGCGAGTAGGTCCTGTAACATTATAATTGACAAGAATTACAGTACACTGGATTTCAACTCAGCAGTCTACCTTGGTCGAATACATGCTCAGAAAGCATTAAACATCAAGGTATTGACTGAATAAACGAGTTGTTGGTTGTCTTACAGTATCTCTCACTGATTTCAAATTTCAAAGAAAGTAACTGTAACTCGTTCTTAGTGATAGAGATGTATTTAATCTTTGTTCCTTTCAAAATCTACAAAGTCTCAATACTATAGTTAATTACTTCTTCTTCTGGCAATGTTTTCGTGCTTAACTTTCTCCAAGGGATTTTTGGCATGCGTCAATATCAGTATGTGGATGAAAACCATTTGGATATAGATAAGCTCTCCTCTCAAAACACCACCTACTTAAGTAGTAATCTTACACTAATAAGTGGTATGCATTGAGACAAGTTTTATAAATCTGGAATGAGAAGCTGTGGTCCATGAAAAAATAATGAAAGAAACAGTGAAGACAGTTACTCGTCAATGATATTTAATTGTGATCCCATTATTTCCAGAAAAATGTAGTAGAAATACTTGGCAGAGTAGTAACACGTTCACCATGGGACTTGATGATTCTTGGGGGGACTCAGTCTATTATCATCGGCGAAGAAAGTTAAGAAGTCATAGCCTAAAGCAAAACGGAAAAGGCACTGCTTCTTTGTTTCCAACAATTTTCTAAGTTATATTAGTTTGCGCTTATGTTTATCCAGAAATAAAATCGTTTCTGCTGAAATCTCTATCATAAAGAAATTCACTATTGGTTACACAGGATTTCATCATGAGCTGACATTAGTTACAGAACCATTGAAAAACCTGGGAGCGCTGGACAGCTGTTTCGTCCGAGTTCGGGACTCTTCAGCAGTACGCACCAACCGGGGTTCAAACCCAAGACCTTCTAGTTACAAGGCGAGCTCCTTGACCATTGAGCCACTGGAATCCGATCTAATCACTAGCCCATGAATTCTAACTTCTGCCAATTCTCGATATAGCGCAACCGCTAGCCAATGTCTTCGGCGAGTATTTGTCCTCACACCCGACCTTCTGCACCCTACTGGTCACGAGTTCCCACTGGAACCCCAGATCACTACCTACCTGAATAGGTCCAGTCGCTGGTGAGCATCTCACTGATATTCAAGTATTGGTTTGTTGGGAATTGGTTGATTGGTTACAGCTGTCCAGTACTCCCAGGTTTTCCACTGGTTCTCTAACCAATGTCGACTCATGATGAAATCCTGCATCCAATCAACCAAATCCCTACAAACCAATACTTGAAATTCACTTTTGTTATCTTCTCTTTTCCTGTTATGATCTATTTCATCCATATAAGTATACATGTTTATGTATATTGATGTCTGTGTGATATTTTTGCATTACTTCTCTTTGCCCTCCACTGATAACTAACTGAATGCCTCTAAAGACATATGAATTGCGTTAGTCTGTAAAAGCATTAACTATTTCAACCTTTCATATGATGATACTTGACAGTCATGCTAAGTAGTTTGTTACTGACTAAAATATAACATACAACACAGATAATTCCCTTTGGACAACAATGCTGTAAGTTTCAGAGAAAAGATAATTGACAATTATTATGACCAACTAACCAAGTATGGTACCAGGTCCAACTAAAGATAGCTCAATCCTTCGAAGAGCATTTCGATGCTCATTGATAACATATCCCATACGTCGAATTGGATAATTTGGACTGAAATTAGAGAAATAAAACTCTAAAAGTTATTTAATAAAATATATTTATTTTGACCAGATAAAAATAAAAGCAAGTATTCAAGGCTTCACTTTTTCAACCAGTGAATAAGGTGACAATATATATAAAATATTGGGGAAGTTACTTCCTTTACCATGCATATATAAGGCCATGAGTTTTCACTAATTTATAAATTCACCTTGATGATGAATGCTAAGACTCACAATGGTCAGACAGCTATCCTGGTTAATCGTAACCATGTTATAAGCTTAAGTGAACACAATTCATTCATGTTTTTGCATTGATTATGTGCTAATATTCGGATAAATTTTGTAGACAGTCATCCCATCAAGTACAAATTTTACGATTATATTTTATGTTAAAGATATTTTTTTCAATAAATATATCTGCATATATGTACAAGTAATATTTCCAGTAGTAGCTAACAGGCTGACTAAGAGCAATTACCAGTTGGCTCTCCTTCATTCTACACAGACCTATGCATGTACCTGTTAGCTTGTAATAATGATGAACTAATAAATGATGTCTGTAGTGAAATAATTTAGCATTACACTACACTCAGTTTCCATCTCAGATGTTACATTTCGAGACCATAAAACACTTTCAGTGATCTGTTAGACGGCTGAATTACCTCTTGCTTTGAAGAACGCTTTAGGAAAGAACGCTATGACCAACTTATCAGCTTAATAGTTCTGAGACCGGATTTCATTACACTAGAGCTGTGAATGCCTTATTTAGGTAGTAATTAAAAAGAGTACCAAAGAAGTACTATTGCTGTTATTTTATCCCTGTAAGATCCCAGTGCAATATAGGGTTTCAGGCTAGAGATTTGAAGTTTTGATAGCAATAGTGTGAATTTTTACGGGATGGAGTTGCTAGCCTCATGCTCAACCTTCCCTTTTTACCAGTCTTACTACTGACTTAGGGGGTAGGGGTAAAGGAGTGAGTTTGCCGAGGATCAAACCCCGAACCATCTGCGGGGTTGGGGAGAATTCTACCACTGTGCAACCAAGGAAAGAAAGTACAAAAGACACTAAATAAATTAATTTTTCTTTCTTATACTTCGGCTGTTAAACTGTTACATCTTACTTGAGGTAACACAATACAACTTAATGCCTAGTAATAAAGCTAATAACTGTTTCGTTGAAAGAGTCACGTAAAAGAAGTCAGCTACTAAGTATTTTGTGTTCAATGAACATTTGGCAGCAACTTTGATTGATTCTACAGAGGACGAAAGTTTCTGCTTGTCGCTCACTATTAGTCTTTCATCGATAGTAAAAGCTACCCTCTGTATGCCATTTTCTAGCCGAAGAATTATGATTGTTCAAGAGGAAAACAGGCTATCTAGCCCTGCCACTTCGGTGTGTATTTGCAAATTTAGTTGCTACTGCGGAGAAAGCTATATAGGGCAAACAACTAGACAGTTCAACAAACGTATTAATGAGCATCTTCCTTCATAGTTCGAAAAAGGTCGTATATAATATATAAAAAGTTGTATTTCGATTCATTTGATTGATAACGCACACCAAATAGACAGAAGGAGTGCCTTCAAACTTATCTATCGCATTCGACTGAACCTTCTGAATGGAATCCGAACCCATCTTTCACACATAGCCAAACCTAGGGAATTGGAGGTATTAATCCTAGTCTTTGCATTCAAAAGAAGTTTGTTCAACCATTTTCCCTCCCTTAGCCTAAGTAAATTCTAATTAAAACCCTCCCATATTTTTTTAATTTTCGATTTCCTACGTGTTTTAATGATATTTATTTAAACTCTGGTTATCTGTCTACTTCACCTTTAGTATTACGTACCTTTTGAGATTCGACCTAATTTATTAACTGAATTGTCGACATATACACATATTACTACCTTCGTTATTCTTATTGCCACCTGCATAAGCCTTATTATCAATATTTTATCATTATAATCATCGTTATAATTAACCTTCAAAACGTTTAACACGTTGTTATTATTTGATTCATAAACTCACCGTCATTGGTTAAGATCTTTATATATAAATCTATGTAAATTAGAATAAAGCCTGAAGAAGATCTAATTGAAAATAATATTGTTCGCTTATATGTCTTGTTCTAAAAGTAGAACTCTCGAGTTGTTCTCATTTAGCAATATATAAATTATCGAGAATACAACGTTTAGCATCAGTATTGTATTACAAAGTGAACAAGTGTGAGCAGAAATCCCCACTGAGATTTAAAGCATGAGGTTTTCGATTTCTATAATCGATATGAATGTGATTTCTACTATGAGCTTCGCAAATATATTTTCAATATCTTTTATCTGAAGTACAGTCACTCAGTAAACTTGAGTAACACTTTAATGAGAATATCCGTAATAACTCAGTAATTATTTGTGGTTCAATTATACACATATATTAAGAGGGTGTTTTAATTTTCCAAAGTCCTAGAGGAATGCTACAGCGTTTCAAACAAATGTGGCATGGTTCGATTCTCATGGAAAACAGAATTACTTACAGGAATGCATGTTCATTCAATTGTTTTGTCTAAAATACTAAATGATAAATTCCACTGATTATACCCACTAACCATATGGCTTAAGATATCAGCATAACTAACTGGGCAGTTGACGCTTTTTGTGACTGATGATATTTAAAGCATAATGATGCCTATTAGTGACGATTGTGTGCTTAAAACGAATGAAACCCAACTTACCTTTCTGTATGTATCAATTTATGCTCATCCGTTGGTTGGAAATTGGATGGATCTGTTGCAAGTTTCAAACTAGGGTATTGTTTGGGATGTTTAAGAACATCAACAAATATCTGAGCTTGTCCTCTAAAAATATAATCAAATATGTTACCTGCATTTACATAATGTTTTACAGGAAATCTGATTGGGAAATGTTAACTGATCTAAGAGCCAAGAGATAAATAGTTACTTGAGTATATATATATATATATATATATATATATATATATATATATATATATATATATACTCGTTGTGACTATTATGTTGAGTGAAAAGAGACTACTGTTGATAGTGTACTTTTGGTAGGAAAAAACTCTTGGGTATCTCCTAATTACCAACTCTTTGTGACTGATGGAACCTTTAGAAAACTTATGAACTGTCAGGGACTAAAACTTGTGTACCTCACTGATACAATAAAAGTTCAACCATATCGTAATTGATTTGTTTTCAGGACTGCATTAATGTATTTGGTTTTCATAATGAGATGTAGTTTAATGGGACTTTTTTTCAGGAAATCAGACACCAAACTATGATGTTCATAAATAAGAGTCAACTGGTTTGAATTCTCCACGAATGAGTTTATTCCATACCAAAGTCTGTGATGAAGATATTGTCTAGAAGGACGATGAAAGCTTTGCAAGTAAAACAACCACCTCAGAGATCAAAATTAATTCATAATGGCGGGTAGTGTTTAAAGCCTATCCCATAAAACTAGAAAAAACAAATCTACTTGAGGCGGATGACACTACTTACTATCAAATAGAAGTAATTCATCTCTCATTTGACTAATTAAACGTTAAAAATGAATTATAGAGCCGATTTTGTCGCTGATGGGAAGCATTTCTAAATTAAACTGTGACAAATCGTGAACAATGATGTCTGACTTAAGGAAAGCTGAGTTTAATTGTTACTTTATCCAAACACAATCACTTGAGAGAAGTTAATCCCCGAATCGTTGTTCAGTGAATCAACGCAAAACACACGCAGTGAAAACTGCTCAAAGACCTTACACAGTATAAGTAAAATTGCAAGGAAAACTGGAGGAAGTGAGGTTATTTAAAGCAAGTTATGAAGTCATGAATATACTGATGTGATTTTAAGCAATAATTTGTGGATGAAAGTTCATCAAGTTGCTGCATCACTTCCTTAAATCTCGTAAACTTATGTAGTATATTTTTATTTTTTTATTTTTGATCACAGCTTGATTCCACACGGTATTTTTGCTACAAGTATAGAATTTTCAGCATGGATATCTGTAGCCCAAATTTCGCAAGCCGAACATAGATATCAGGTGTGCGTCGGCAGGGGATTGAACCTCGGACCATGCGCATGGTCGGCGAGAGTCCTAACCACTGTGCCACCGACGCATAGAATGAGCTAATTAAATTAATGAAATTATAATACTGTGATAAAAAGATGAATCACACAGACATATTCACACTTAATTAGAAATTCAACGGTCTTCTATTAGATTGACAGTTTCATACCTAAGCAGTATAAAAACTGGAAAGTAAAACCTATTTCACTCAATAGTAACAGACACCAAAAGCCTCTGTAGACTTTGTTTAGAGTCATACGGTGCGATAAAATTTAGTCTGATGACGAAATATTTATGAGAAATTCTCACTTTATATGCAAATATACAGTGTTACACTAATACTTACGTAAGTATAAATAATAACCCATTTAATGGTTCACCCTGACGTATAAGATCTGCTTCGAATTGAAAATCTGTTTGGACTAAAGACATTGCTGCTTGTTTTTTCAAGCTTTGTATCCATCCATTGAATATTGAACACTTATTAACAAAATCAATACGTTTTTTAAAATCAGCTTCATGTACTTCTTTCAATGAACGATTATATGTCATTCTATTGACAACAACTAAATGAGTTGTACAATCAGAGATAATTGTTGCATTTCTTATGCAATCCTTATTGATTAAAGCTAATTCTCCAAAGCTAGTACCATTTCCTAAAGTTTTAATGAACATGTTCAATAGTGAAGACATTGTTCAATGAAAGAGGAAAGGAAAGAAACATGATAGTAATTAGTATGGGTATTTTCAAAATGTTATTTTACGCGAAATTTAAAAATAACTGTATTTAAAAATAACATTTTAGATTTCTAGTTTGCAGAGATTTGGTTGATTTAAAGATTGGTCATGAACTGTCTTTATTTAGTGAATCCTGCAAAAACCAGGTAGTACCGCTCAGCTTTTTAGTTATTGTTTGGGACTCTTTAGTAGTACGCACCCAGTACGTTCAGGTTACTAAGGGAGAGCGTTGACCATTCAGTCACTAGAACGGAACCACTGACCCTAACTTTTGTAAATCCACGAGATAAAGCACGACCGCTAGCTAATGGTTATTTTTACTTACACCCAACATTCTCAGGTTGATCTAGTGCCCACTGGTCATTAACTACTGGATTAAGTTGCCCGAAGTCCTATGGGAAGTTGTGACCAGCAGGGTCGATCAAGTTAGGCTAGATTTAGTAAAATGGTTAAGATGATAGTGTGGAATTAGGAAATCAAAAAAATAACAAATTAAGTATACGGACAATCGTTAATCATTTTTATTCTTCTCCCATCTGACATATTTCTGTTATACAGCCGTCTTCTTCGAAGACAATTAAAGCCCTAACACCAGGTTTTTCTTAAAATAAACAATGCAATAAGGCCTTTGTGCAATACAAATATTTATTGTCTGTCAATATACGCTGGTCAGGTATCGACAAAGATTCAGGTGTATCTACCTTATAGTCAGTAAGATATATTCTGTTGACCTGATCATGAAGGTATTACTTTTGTTTATGATTAAGCATGGGCTTTATTCCAGCTAAGTAGCCCATAGTTTATTTTAAGTAGGATTTTATCAAGTGGCATCAAGAATTAACTACTATTTAATTTGTGCAAAGATTTCATTGGTCTTATTCTCGTGTAAAATAAATTTCTTGAACATACAGTAATCATCAGAACACTTAATGAGAACGCTTATGACAGAGTGGAGCAGTCGTTTAAAAAAATAGGCAAAGGTGTTGCGAAAAAATAGATCTGAGAAGCTGACTAATACTGTTAAATAAGGAGGATACCAGTTGTTCATTTCACACGAGTTATTCTTTGTCTAAGACAAATAACCAAATGAACATTTGCTATTTTCAAAAATGTCCTCCTTAGGAATATGTTGTTCAGCAAAATTTGCCCATTAAATTTTAATGCACAGGAAAGTCTGCAATGGCATATTAGACTCATTCAGTATCCTATAAAACAAATTTAATTCACTAGTATGATAAATAGTAAGGTTAAGAGGATAAATTACTGCTTCAGTGGCATTGTGGTATGAATAGTCTCTCCCTTCAAGCATACTTATTGTTGAGAACACCCTAAAGTGGGCTTTTGAGTCGTTTTCTAAAATTTACGCATTTAGTACCTTTTGTTAAGCGAACAACCATTTATGCATTGAAGGTGGTTTTACCTTAAATTCTTTATTACCTGTCTTAACTTTCCTTAGATTAGATTAATTGGGCAAAATATTGTTGAAAGCATGGGTAGATAACTGTTTTATTGTACATCATTGAAAAAGAGCCATCGAGTAATATATTCACTCCAATATACACATTTTATGTGTTCCCGTCATTACACAGACTGATCACTAGTGAGTAACTAATGTCATATAGCTGGTTCTTAGTGTTGATTTCTACTAAATACTGTTTATCAAGTTTACAAGCTGAACAAACCGCTATTGTGGTGCACTTTAAATCGATGTTATTTTGTTGTAATCAGTTAACAGGGACCCCTGGACCTAGGGTATGCGTTTACTGACAGTCTTCAGCTAATCAGACCTGCAATCTTACGGAAATCAATGTCCCCTCAGGGATTTGTGTCCTTGTCACACAGTAATGCAGTTACAGACGTTAAAAATCAGGTATTTCGGTTCATGACTGACATTCATTTACTTAGGCAAGTCATCTAAATCAATAATTAAATTATACGATATCAATTCGTTTAGAATATTAATTTACATACGTACCACTCTGAAGTGGATGGAATTGAAAAAGTATTAAATACACAAAAGAATTAGCCTACCTAAACTCATGATATAATTTCCACATTTTTCTCGATTAATTACTTTCCGCTCCATAGGATGTTTGGATCCAACTGTTGAATCATCTTGTTGATGAATAGTCTCTTGATCATCATGCACAGATTCTGTATTTACATAGACTGATACTTGACCACTTAGAACTACATAAAAACTATATGTATAGAAAAATAAGAAACAGTTTTAAACTTATACTTACATGATATTTTAAGTCAAGTAAGGTTTTCAAGCTTTAAGAACAACGCACTCGATTGTTCAGTTCATTTCTATTGGTTAAAGGTATGTAACTGATTCCTTCCGGCGACTTAAAAAGGAGTATGTATAACAAATATCACAAATTTTAGAAAGTTTCCTATTTCCGGTGAACTCCCTATCTTCGTTTATTTTTCTTTCAGTGAGAAGAAATGAATAATTAAACGAACAATAGTTATTCTTTGTCACTATGTATACTGAAAATTCTATATTTCTGCAGTCAGTATACATCTAATCAGAAGATATGAACTGAATCGACCCTTTTTTCATCAATGTCAGCTCATGATGAAATCCTGTAACCAATCAACCAAATCCCAACAAACCAATACTTGAATATCAGTGAGATGCTCACCAGCGACTGGACCTATTCAGGTAGGTAGTGATCTGGGGTTCCAGTGGGAACTCGTGACCAGTAGGGTTCAGAAGGTCGGGTGTGAGGACAAATACTCGCCGAAGACATTGGCTAGCGGTTGCGCTATATCGAGAATTGGCAGAAGTTAGAATTCATGGGCTAGTGATTAGATCGGATTCCAGTGGCTCAATGGTCAAGGAGCTCGCCTTGTAACTAGAAGGTCTTGGGTTTGAACCCCGGTTGGTGCGTACTGCTGAAGAGTCCCGAACTCGGACGAAACAGCTGTCCAGCGCTCCCAGGTTTCTCAATGGTTCTCTAACTAATGTCAGCTCATGATGAAATCCTGTAACTGATCAACCAAATCCCTATAAACCAATACTTGAATATGAGGAAGATTGCTGAAGTGCGTGATTTCAGAGGGTGGAAAATTTCCAGGATATTACTAGACTGTAAGCACATTTTAGGGAACTTTGAACCGATGTTCTTTTATCCACGAGTATCTGTAATCTTAAAAAAAATGCTTTTCTGAACAATCGAATACGGACCACTGAATTTATAGTAAGAGGCTTCATTTAAAGCCCTTGATGTTGCTTTTTCCAACGGTAAGAGTGATTAAAATCTGAGTCTGAGTTTGTTATCCAGTACATAGAAGGCACTAGCTGAATGTGAAGACTGCCCAAACACTTACAGTATAGAATGAACCATACATTTAGAATCAGTGGATGGATTTACACATAATTTAACTACTTTTATTTATCTTAATATTATTATGTTTATTATGCATCTATTAATATTTTATTACTAAGATGATGCATTAAGTCACAATCACTGAACTGTTGAGAAAACGGATTTATTTTGTAAAATAAATCTTATACACTCATAGAATTATTATATTATTATTGTTTCCTTGGATTCCTAATGGAACATAGGGCTTCAGCTGCACGTCTCCACTTTCTTCTGTCTTCTGCTGTACTTTTCACCTGCATCCATGTTAGTCCATACTCTTTCAACTCCTCTTCACACGATCTCCTCCATGTCACCCTTGCACCGACGTCCCACCCGCCGCTTCCCTTTCGGCCTGGTTCCACTCCAGCAATGGCCTGACGCGAGCACGATGTCACCCAGTGGCCTCCTCAGCGAGTCCCCAATCCATCCATCTCCACTTTCTCCTGCATATTTGTTGTTTGGCGATTGGTTGTTGTTTTGTTTGTTTGTTTGTTCCGAGCCATAGTTTCTTGTTGGTGATTCTTTCCGGCCCGGCCATCTGATCTTCAGTATAGGGCAAAGACAGTTGTTGATAAAGGTTTGCAGCAGGCTGTTGGAAATATTCTTTGTGAGCCGCCCGTCAAGTTTCTGATCCGTATAGAAGAACTGACTCACTTGACGTTTGTAGTGAAAATTCGACTGAATTTTTTTGTTGACGCTGGCTGAGTGACGAAGATTTCCAGATTGGTTTCAGGTTGATGAATGTGTTTCTTGCCTTCCCGTTCTTCCTGAAGTTGAAACAATGCTCCTTAAATAAGTGAATGAAGTAACCTCTTTCGAATCCCTCCAATTGATGGTGATTGGCGCTGGATGTTGCTGTTGTTGTTGGTTGGTTATTTTCATAACCTCCGTCTTGTCTGTACAATCATAGAATACTTCACAACTATAAATGTCATGTAGCTAGTGTATGTAATACAGCAAGTCATTCTCATCCCACACACTTCTAGCACTTAAGATTTAGTCAATTGGTAGTTGGTGACTAGCAGTGGAATCCAGGACGAAAACGTCGTCCTATCTGGGACTCGTCACTGGATGTACCAGCATTCCCTAGTTAGGGATGGTGTACCCACTGAGGATCAAACCCAGTACCCGTATTTTCAAACGTCAAACGTTACCCATGGGATCACTTATGCCACGAGAGCCATCCCTTTTGCAACGGGTCTTATTAATTATTCAGTTGAATTTTATATTTTCACATCGACTGATTGGACAGAGGTGCTCGGTCCCAGGTTGACATGTCGGCTCCTTGTGCAGATGCTTTGACGATGTCTGGTCACCATCCACGGGTGGACTTCAAGCACCATGACCAGACATCGTCGAATCATCAGCAGAAGGAGCCAATATGTCACCCTGAAACCGAGAAATTCGGTCTAATCAATCGACGAGAAAATCTAAAAGTGGACTAAAAGTTTAGGTTGTGTGATAAGAGAAATTTAATTTTACAAAATAATATTGATCAGTGAATAGTAATTGAATTAATACTTAACTTATCAGTTGAAATTTAATATTTTATGGTAGCATAAAGTTGTAATTTTTAAAATAAACAATAAGTGAAATTTTTGGACTATCTTTTGTATTTATGTAGCACAACCATATGTATGAAGCTTAATGGAAGCGTATTCTATTGCTTTGTGTTCGTTTAAAATATTTTCGCCTATTTGTAACCTAAAACCGTGTGAAGTAAAATAACAGTAGTAACCCTGTTGACGAATATGGTTACAATGGTTTTTGATTATTTGAAAAAAGTGAAATAGATGTGTGTTTATTGAGTAGATATGAACTAGTTGAAGAAAGTGAAAAATTTATAAGAAATATATATATTTATATATTAAATTGTAGCTGGTAACAATAGTGACAGGATGCATTGTATTTTGTTGGTATCTTGTCAGTTGCTTACACTCTAGATACAGAAAAGTTAATAGTTTTATTACTATTTTAACGGACTTTAGCTCACTGTGGAGAAAAATGTCGAGAAATAATTAAGGATGACCACGATTATTCAATTAGTCGAAGTGTTAAATTGAATTAAAGAAAGTTGACACTTTTGATTAACTTTTATACCATAATAATTCTCAGTTATTTTACAACATTTTCTCCAATGAACCGTAGCATTCTAAAGTTGTAACTTTCACTACTGTAAGCAATTAACGAGAAACTAAAGATATAAAATGGATATTCCATATTAGTTTGTTCATTAGATATATCATACAGTGAAACAGTATTATTATTGTTTATTTTTTCGAACACATCAACTCGCAGGTGAAGGCAATTCAACTCACTTATGAATTGGAAAGTCAGGAAGTGGAACTTCCAATATTAGATTGCAACGTAAAAAGGAAAGAAGATGGGAAGCTAAACACTAGTGTTCACAGAAAACCCACACATTCAAAAAGAAATTTGGACTTCCGATCATCCCATCCTTTATCAGTAAAAATAATATTGTGAAAAGTTTAAATGATAGAGCACAAAAACTAAGTAGTACCAAGGAAAATCTAATACAAGAAATGATACACATAAAAGAAGCCTTGAAACTTAATAATTACCCGAATAAATTAGTCAGGAAATATGTAAGGAGACGTAAAAATTAAATAAATAATGACAGTAGTGATAGTGATAACAATAATAATATTAATGACGTCATGCATGTCAAACATGCTCAAGATAATGACAATATCAACAATAAGGGATCTAAATCAACAGTAGTGACTCCATACAAGGAAAGAACCTTAGAAACCTTACACAGAATTTTTAACAAGGCAAGAATAAAAGTGGCATTCAAACCCATAAACTCAATTCGAAACAAACTTTATTGGTTAAGGATCCTGTGGAGCCTTTAAAACAAAACAATTTAGTTTATCTAATACCCCGCCTGTAATGATTGTGAGGTCAAATACATAGGTCAAACTGGTAGAACAGGGGCAGTCAGACTAGTCGAACATAAAAACCTAGCTAAATCTAGATTGGTTGACCCGAATAAGATGAGAAATCTAGAGAATAGTTCAGCTATAGCACTACATGCAGTTACACACAACCATACAATAGGATGGGATAGGACGACAGTTTTAAAATTTAATGTAACAGGGTTTAGGGAGAGATTGATAACAGAAGCTTTGTTTACCGAATCAACTGCAAATACATGTAATAGGAATGATTCATCACCTGTCCCAGATATATGGAAAATCCTACAACCCTTACGACAAATAGGAGAAAATAAAGAAAACTGTAAAACTCAAGTTTCGAAGTTGTGTGATTACAATTGATATGATTATGAACAATAAATTTTGTTCCTAACGTCATCCGGTAAACAATACTGTTTCACTGTGTGATATATCTAATGAACAAACTAATATGGAATTACTTGCTACCACAGTGCCCAGGTTCTACACATATATTAATAAAATGGATATGTTTTCCCCCTGCTTCGTGTATTGATAGTAATTTTTTCAAATTCATTACTGAGAATTCATGTATAAATTTATAATTTTTACACGATTACATGCAAATCTTTAGTTTTATTCATTTTCTTCATCATACTATTGTGCGTGTGCTACTGATGAGACTTATCAGTAGTATATAAACAGATATTCATAGATTTGAAGAAATCAAATAGCGGAGAGACAGATTTGACATGAAATAGAGCAAATGATTCAGTGTTGTGGAAAAACATTGGAGACACGAAAGGAAGACAGAGAAACACAGTACGAAGGGCAGAAGTAGCACAACATGGAAGATCTGTGAAAATGACAACTTGAAGATAAGATGTACATAATTTCGCTTTATGAAGA